TGATGATGAAAAGTCACTTTCTTGTAGAACAAATAGCCGCTGAAGTAAAAAAATTCTACAGTGGCGATCGCGTAATGGAAAACGCAGCGTTTGTAAGCCATGGGCTACACATGAGGTAGATCGACGACCTGCTGCAGGTCACAGGAATACCCTGGACGTGATCAACGCAGCATCAGCAGCGCATTATGACGAGCCTTAAAGAAGGCAGTTCAGCAGTAAATGTCCGTAGGCTGATGATGATGATCCAATAAATACACCTAGAATTAAATCCGGTATCAAACTTGCAATCCAAACTTAGCGAGAAAAAAAAAGAATGTATATCTATGGAGCAAATAACTATTTCGGTCAAGAAATAAAATCTAAAAACAAAATAAAAATATAACAAAACACAATAAAGCATATTAGGATGGCTATTTTCTGGGCCAAGTAATCCATGTGATCTTCATAAAGAAAAAGGGATTGTCATTTAGTAATCAGATCCAAAACGGAAGGAGGAGCGGTTCGTGTTTGTACGTGACGCGATTTTATGGACCGTAAAATAATATATTTAAGGTTTGCACTTTGGATTCAGTTTGTTTTGTCATAAGAGATGAGGCAATAAGAATTTACGATCACAATTTTTTTTCGTTAACTAGGCGAATGCATTTGACGTCTGTGTTGTTTTTCTTGTTAGGTATAAGGTTAGGTAGAGCATAAGTGCGTGTGGAGGTATACGACAAAGAGAAGATCCTCCACCGAGAGGGGTTATATTGTTCGCTAGACCAGCGGTCCGAATGTTATTATTCGAAACTTGTATATATATATGCAAGTTTATCTTGAAAATGTCGTAACCGAGATTCAGACATCTATGGTACTTGTGGTAGGACCTCTAGTGAGTCCGCGCGGGTAGGTACCACCGCCCAGCCTATTTCTGCCGTGAAGTAGTAATGCGTTTCGGTTTGAAGGGTGGGGCAGCCGTTGTAACTATACTGAGAGCTTAGAACTTATATCTCAAGGTGGGTGGTGCATTTACGTTGTAGATGTCCATGGGCTCCAGTAACCACTTAACACCAAGAGGCTGAGAGCTCGTCCACTCATCTAAGCAATAAACACAAAAAAAAAACTATCGAATAGACTCATTTTATATAGGAAACCACTTCTAGGAACTGCATACTTTTTGTAGACTTTAAGGATTTTTTTAATTCTCATGTTCTCAATAGGGATAAGGACGTTAGTATGCAATATATAGCATACTGCGATCGCTAACCGACGCATACTGGTTGGAAATCGTAGTGTGAACTCACAGTATTATTCATTGTCATCATCCTACTCTATCCAAATCGAGACTTCAGCCTTATGTTTCACGGTGGTGGCATTCGCCTTGTGGTATCTATGGGCTATTTAAAATCCCGATAGTGAACTCAACAATTAATGTAAATCAAAAACAATGGAAAGCTGCGAGTAAACCCCAACTGAAGCCCTTACATACAAGGCATGGGACCCACCAGTTTAATATGATAATGAACCTACCACTTATCATCCGAATGACTTAATTAAAATATCAAGAAGTTAATTTTTATTGAAGGATCAAGTATGTATGTATGTGTATGATCATATATTATATTGTATGTATGTTCAAATCCATATTTTATTAAGATCGATATACACGTAAACACAAATGCGCAATACACGTGGCAAATATATAAGCACACAAATTACAATTAATAATTAAAATTAAATAAAAAAAAAAACAAATAATTAAAATCCCTCAAAAATGAAAAAAAAATCCCTATCTATGTTTAATTTTTTTATTTTATTTCATGACCCATCTTCTAATTGAATCTCGATTTACGAATTGAATCGACCCCTAGGGTTCCATACCAAATTGGGAATATCGCTGAATGCTATTTCGAGATTCAATATATTTTTTATTTGTGATAGAGCAAATTTATTTAGGGCATATAAACTTATATATATATATATATATATATATATATCAGTAAAAAAGGAAACAATAGTTGACATCCGAGATCGGACGTAAAATTAGAGCTTTGTTGCCTTTGTATATACAAAATTCTCCGGCTGTTCTAAAAATCTGACCTTTTAAACCAGATAAGAAGCTTTACATCACAATTTTACTTGTTACAATTTATTAAAAGTAGCATTAAAAATAAGCCCACGGGACACAGCTTGTTGACGTCGAGAGATTGAAGTTTATTTGTAATTAAACTTCATTAATAAACTTCAAACAGCTCAGATACCCGAAGTATTTTCTAAACAACTTATAGTTGAAGCTATGTTTACGTGACGAAATAATCTGTAAACAAATAACAAAAGCTATGTTTACATAACTTTGGGTTTAATTAATTTGTAGTTTATTAATGTTAGTTTTTGTTTCATTTCTTGAATAGGTAACAACACTGGTGGTAGGACCGCTTGTGAGTCCGCGCGGGTAGGTACCACCACCCTGCCTATTTCTGCCGTGAAGCAGTAATTCGTTTCGGTTTGAAGGGTAACGTAGCCGTTGTAACTAAATTGAGACCTTAGAACTGATATCTCAAGGTGGGTGGCGGCATTTACGGTGTAGATGTCTATGGGCTCCAGTAACCACGTAACATCAGGTGAGCACGTCCACATATCTAAGCAATAAAAAAAAACTCTCTTTGAGTTTATAATTTCGATTTTCCTTCTTCGTACAGACTTAAATTAGTCACGCATACTAATATGTCAAACTCACCAACCTATTTCAGCACCGTTTATATATGTATGTATGTAAGTCGTTATAATAATAACACGTGTAGTAAAACATTAACCCGCTCTCTGGCAAACCGATCAATAGATTGTGTTGGCCTCGAATCTTTCTATCATGAACGACACATTAATTTGTCATAGCATAGCCACCCATTATGTTTAGTATAACTTGACCAAGCATCTATGGGTCTACATGTGTTTCATAATACGTCATTCACGACGTAGCTAATGCTGCTACGGTAATTAAATGAGTAAGTTTGACTATTTCGCTTATTGTGCCATATTTTGGAATACAACATTCACGAGCGCAAAGGTAATAAAATTCTGTGTGAAACAAGAATAGTTGGTCTTCTATCATATACTGACTTATTCTCTGTTTGATATTAATATTGACCATTCAAATTAGCAGTGAAAATGTATATATATATATATGTCAAATTATGACTCAGACATCAGGATTGTAATCGAGGCACAGCACACAGGCACCTAAATTACCACTAAACAATCACTGATCGAAACCCAGCAACTCAAATGAACTATAAAAATGGACAGTGAATCAATCAAATGACAATCGTGAATGATAACGGTCACATAGGGCAGCACTATCTATCTGTGATGGACAGAGTTCCGTGCACCCACCGCAACAGGGCAACACCAATCGTCAAAGACAGTGGTACATACACCAAGACGCATCCGCTCAAAGTGCGCCCAGAGCTTTTTTTTCTACTTATGCTGATAGCCTTGAGAGACTATTTCAGCTTCCCCTAACATGTAGCCGAGCTCAGGGGGTTCAAACCTGACGACGTTGCTAACACGAACCCTAGCAAGAGCCATGCTTCGCAGAATCTACCGCCTGATCCGAAACGCGACCAGTGGGTCCGCCGAATCTTGTCAGTGGAGAAGTTTCGGCGCGAAACTCAGTGGGCAGTGAATTAACGAGTAAATTAACTCACAGACACAGCCCACTGAGTTTCTCGCCGAATCTTCTCAGTGGGTCGCGTTTCAGTGGGTGGTGGATGGATGGATGGGTCTATGGATCTGAATTCTGTTCTATCCGCCCGCGGACGTTTACTGCTGGACATAGGCCTCACCACAATGATAAATTTGAATGCGCGATCAAACTTGTTTTCGTCAAATCAAACAAAATCAATCAATCAATCAAAACTTCGATATACAAATATTTTATATTCAAATTTTGGAAAGATCAAACAAAGCTTTATCAAATTATCACAGACTTATATAATTTATTCGTTGTTAAATATAGATGAAGATAAACCACAGTACGTCCTCAATATTGAAACAGCTACGTGAATATAGTCCAAAGAAAACAATTTTACGTTAAGTCGATTGTCAATCATATTTAGGTAATGTGCCTGCGATTTATTTGGATTACGTCCTTATTATTTATCTTGACAGAATAGGTTACTTCTACTTTTATATGGATTTGACTGATGATGATTACGCCACGTAATCATTGGCCTTTATTTATTAAATGAGCAAGTCATATTTATTTATTTATTACACTTCATGTAAAATTTGCATTGGCGGACTTAATGCCTAAGGCATTCTCTACCAGTCAACCAAAGGTAGTGCAGAGTGAATAGTGGTAGGTGCAATGGAATTTATATTAAGTTACAAATACGTACACAAAAAAAAAGTATATACATACATATATACACAAGCACATATAGATACATACATACACACACACATACATACATACATACATATAATAGTTTATACAGTATTAAAAGGAACATATTAATAAATTTCCTTAGTAAATAACTTCATCGTAATAAGTTCATGACGATTCCGCTAACTTTTCCAACAACATTCGCCGAACCCTTAACTTGAACGCGCAACGGTTAGTAATAGTCCTGATCTCGAGAGGAAGCGCATTCCATAGCAGAACAGACTGCACGACGAAAGAGTTACGAACATAACCAGAACTATGTGTGGGACAACGAATTAATAGGCTATGGAGAGAACGTAGGGCCCGCTCATGGCTGGAGTGAAGATATTGAAAATAGGGAGTTAGATAGAAAGGGGGTTCGGGAGACATAAGTAAGGAATGAAGAGTCGTCAGTGCACGTAAATTACGACGCTAGCGAATCTGTAGAAGTTTGAGCTGGGCACGATAGGAAGATGTATGATCATATTTACGAAGATTAAAATTATATTGAGTAGGATTAAAATTTTATAGGGACAGTGAATGTGAGCGATTATTAATTTGTAGTTATGGAGCATTACAAAATGACTTATTGTTTCAGATATGTCGCCATAGTGAAGCCATTGCAACACAGGCTAAGCCGGCGAGTGGTCCGCGCTGCCTTGTTCACGGTTTGGATCGCCAGCGCCATGCTAGCCTTACCCAGTCTGCTCTACTCCGATACCTACAAAAAACAGTAAGCAGTTATTGATTTAGCAAAATTGTAACTTTTATTTATTAAACTAGCTGACCCGGCAGACTTTGTAGTGCCTCAATCGATAAATAAAAGACCTAAACATTTGTATAAGATAAACTTAAAACAAACAAAAGGAATCCGTCCGACAGGGGACACATCAAAGGGAAAACAAAATTGATATTTTTATTTATTTCCGAGCATTTTCATATTTATCTACCTTTCAAACCTTCTCTGGACTTCCACAAATAATTCAAGACCAAAATTAGCCAAATCGGTCCAGCCGTTCTCGAGTTTTAGCGATACTAACGAACAGCAATTAATTTATATATTGCCTAGTCCAGCCATAAGTTCTGTTACAGATGAAAATGCTTTTTTTAATGAAGTAATGTAATATTAAAATTTATACAATAAAAAAATAATCTATTCGGAATGGCCACTTTTAACTTTTATACAGGCCTTTACTTTGCTTGGCCACGAATCTATTGATTTACGTACTGTTTCTAAAGGAAATTTCGCCACTGCTTGTTCCAAAGGTTTTTTAAGAGATTTCTCAATGTCGTTTAGAGCAGGCCTTGTCCTCGAAAACTGATCATAATTTAAGTCTAAAGGGTTGAGAGGTTTGGGGTAGATGAGGACCAGTCTTCAGCTCTTATAAAGTCTGGAACTTTAGTTTCAAGCCAGGCTTGGGTAGTTCGTGCCTTGTGACCAGGTGCAGAGTCTTTCTTGAAAGCCCTCGGTATAGTTTTAAAAAGTGTATTACTGAGAAATTTCATAACATGATCCAAGACTGTATCTTGTTACACTTTAGCTGAAGTTGTCACTCCTTTTTCACAAAATGTAGATTTGTGACTCTTTGATAAGACACGCCCCACCAAACCATGACTGACGCAGGATGATGACCACGCTGCACTTTTCCGACCACTTGAGCAGCTTCTTTAGAACTGTAAGCGTACACTTTATCATTTAATTTTTGTTATTGTAGTGTTCTTCAATCGTCGAGGATATTTCTGTGCATTTCATCTGCGTATCGCGACAGAAGGCGTTTTGATCGATTCACTCTCTTTAATTGTAAAGATTGATTTAGGGCATGTCCTGTATATCGACGATAAGCACCGAGCTTCAGGTCTTGTTTTATAATACGCGACGAGTTCTAGCGGGAATTTTCATTTCTCGCGATAGGACTTTTTGTTTCCTAATAGGGTTTCGACGAATTCTGGCTTTAACAGCATTAACAGTCTTTGTAGCTCTAACAGCACGCGGATGCCCCAATATTTACTGGTCTTCGACAGATGAAATGTTGTTGCATGTGTTGATAGTACGATATACGACGGCTGATACTAAGCTTTTGAAGCGTTTGGAATATGAACAACGACTCCATACCCACTTTGTGAAAGGCGAACACTGCCATCCTATTTTATTTAACACCCCATTCCATATTGTAATTTGAGAGTGAACACGAAAAAAAAAGGTGACATGGCGCAAAAAAGAAAGAAGTTTTTAAAATAATATAAGTATTCCAAATTCAAAATAAATAAAAAGTTGAACAAAAGAAAAGTTTTGATGTAACAGTATTTATGGTCAGACTAGTTAGTGAATGGCGCGTTTTCTGTAAAGTAGTCACTGGAATCCACCCCAAGATAAATGCTGCCACTCATCTTAAGTCGTTTGTTGATCCTGAGACCGAAAACTAAATTGTGTAGCACCTGTAATACCATTCAATCCGGGATGATTGTTTTGCTACGAATACCAATTAGTTGGTGGTGAGCACAAGCGTAACAATAATATAATAATATCTACTTTCTAATATCAACATAAATTTAGTCACCTTCCCTATTCGTTTTTCTAATATTTTAATTTCTAAAGCTATTAAATTATACATATTTCAACGAAATTATTTGGCTTTAAATCTAGAAGAACAAAGCTTTATTCGGTTCATTAATTCTTAATAGTATAAAGGAAATTTACAAAAGAAATTTAGAATAAAAGCATTTTAATCGAAGTCATTAAAGGCGGCTGCCTTACGAGGTTCGCAGTTTTGAGTACCAAGAGACAAAGTATTTTTTTAATTAGACAATAATAATTTAATATTAAAACAATATTAAAATAAGACCACGCTATATTTATAAACATTAAAAAAAGCAAAACATTAAACATTAACTGTCCCCTTCACACTCATAAGCTAGACCGCGCGAGAGAGAGATGGACAGACTTTTCATGATGCGCATGTAGTGCGACGTCACGCCGCGTGCTTATTCGCAAACACTACACAAGCGCAACGTGTGAATGTGTTGAACGCGAGCTACATGGTAGGTGGAGTGGGGCTGTTAGGTTTTATTTTCGTTACGGAATTTCTTGATCCGGTCGCCGCGCTCAAAGTCCGCGATAAAAGCTATGCAATAGCTTAAAAAGAATGAAGAAAACAAAAGTAAGAGAGATGTAAAATTGATGTTTGACTGACCGTCTGACTCAGTGGGACAGTTATTAGCGCCCTTGACTGATCGGACGAGGATAATGTGTTCGATTCCGGCATCGGGCAAGCATTAGTGCGGTCAACAGGCTTATTTGCTCTTTGTCGGTATTTTATATCTGTATGTAAATATTTCATTGCATTTTAGTATGATTATAAATCTCCAGTTCCCATAGCACAGGAATCCTAGTTTGGAGCTATATGATAATGTACATGTCTTGTCCCCGGCTATTATGATACTATATGTGCTATTATGTTCCAGTTTGAAGGGTTGGTGATGACATTGAAGAATTCAACCTAACGTCCAAAGTTTATGAGCTTCGGCAATTATTTAACGCCACATGGGCCATAAATTCGTCCATCTCTGTCGTAAAAAAACCCTGTTGATTAAATCAGTTGTGGATAGTGCATATATTTTCGCAGCATGTACCAATTAGAGATTTGGTTATCGCACTCTGTCCCACATAATAGCAATGCTTAAATCGAAATACCAATGAAAAAATATATTTGCTTTTTAAGCTTCGAACGAGTTTGTTTACGAAGTTCTTAAGGTAGGTAGGTGAATATTAATTCCTATTTGGATACTGTCACGTAAACGAACCGGAAGAAACACGTTTTCTTGAATAAATAAGAACATCAATAGCATTCGTCAGAGGTCTGTGTAAATATTTCACGACTGACAGCTATTATAGCCTTCGGACTTACATACGAGTATTTTATAGGTATTTCGATTATTGTTAATGAGTTCACCTATTTTTTGGTATGTATTGTTTTTAAACTTGACTGATTTTTTTAAGACTATGAAATTGAATTCTAAGTTGAACGCACTGATTTTTCTTAATATATGTACATGATTTTGCACGTTTTTAGGACTATAAATTGCGGTTAATCAACATTAAATTAACAGTTCCATTAATCAAAATTTGAAACATATATTTAATTATTTCCCTGAATGAGTAAATGGACTAGAGTATTGTTATCTTCAGCGAAATATTCGAAAGAAAAAGTGGTCTAATAAATTGAAAAAACAAACCTATTGTACTAATATAGAAATAAATATTTAAAATAATCTGTTTAATGTACGTTACCAATGATGATTAATATGTAGGAAGTTTATGGGAAAATAAGAGACAGACTGGCCAATTCCAACTCTTAAGTAAAATATAGTATACAATCGAATCTTCGCCAAGATTTATTACATAGAAAGGTGAACGAACTCACGGCTCGCCTGCAATTAAGCGTTTACTGAAGCCCATAGATACCACAATGTGTTTTCCGCCTCCCAACTTGAATTATAAGGTCTAAATATCAAATGTATAGTATAAGAGCTGTTGCGCCATTAAAACCCAAATGAATGATCGCCTTTCGGTCGCAATAAGCAGGACGCTAGTATCTGTGGAACCCAATCGTGAGGTCTATCAGTATTTTTTGGGTATTCAGTAATTTTTTTGGGTTCCTTAGGCATATTTTTGAGAATTTTGCGTGCTACATTTCCATTCATTTATTAACGAATTTTCATTTAAACTAATAGTTGATGACACGTGCGCTCCTGAAGTCGTAAGTAACCTTTCTCAACTAGCAGGTGACCTGAGATAGAAAGCCTCTCAACGGAAATTGGTTCAGTCAACGTCAAGAATCGAGTTGAGTTGTTTGCATGAAATGGCACACTATTGAATACATCCCTATAAATATTTACTTTGAAAATTAATGGTACACGTTAATCATACGGAACAAACAACTATACAGCTCTTTAAATAGATCCCATTAGGAAAAACGTCCTTCCTATATAGTTAAGAGCGATAAATTTATTAGTTTTCCACTTCCTCTGTTTATTGGATGTCGGATATTGCGAAATGATATAGAAAAAAACACCAACACCAAACACGTGTTTGAGTAATCATAATAAATTTGACTGCATAATAAATCAGGTAACCTAAAAAATACAAATAATAATTTCAAAGATCAATATGTAGTCATACAGGAGTTTTTTATTGAAATTCTCCTGAACTAAATTCTCGTGTTAACATTCAGAACACGTTACAGATCTTCTTGTAATGTTCTAATTATTTGTTTACATTGCCTGAGAATCGGCGTAGTGGATGTTATTGCGTGTTCGGATTAAATTAAATTCACTAAATAGCTTGTGCTAAATGTTTTCGGGGTCGTTGTTTGTAATTCATTACAATGTGTTCTGATATTAGATTATGGCACGCGAATTTACGAACAATATTAATAAAGTTACACACAAAATTCATAATTGATTTAATTAATATGTTACGAAGTGCAAATATTATTATTTGTAGGCTTCAAAACGTAAGTAGTTTGTTAAATAAACGTTGTTAAATAAAGAGAAGTATACCTTAGGCGTTGTTCATCCCATCTCTTACGGTGAAAGATACAAAATACGACTGGAATGAATGGAATGAATGGTTCTCCGAATCATAAGTCAGTGCACTGCGATTGCCAATTGGTACTTACTATTCGTAGAGGTTTTTTTTATTTTTATTGCCTTAGTACTCTCCACAAGCCTCGTTTGAAGAAGGACATGTCATAGCGCTCGGGAAACACCGTGGAGGGGAGCTCATTCCATAGCCGGATGGTACGTGGCAAAAAAGATCTCTGGAAACGCACTGTGGATGACCGCAGTGGCTCCAAGTAGTATGGATGAACTCTACTCCGGTGGCGGGCGGTGCGATGGTAAAAACGAGACGTTGGTATCATCTCGAACAATTCCTCAGAGCACTCCCCATGGAACATGCGGTACAAAATACACAAGGAACCGAAGTCCCTCCGCAGATCCAGAGGCTCCAGAGGGTAATGTTAACCCGCACGGGTAACTATCACCACCCGGCCTATTTATGTTACCAAGTAGTCATGTAATAAGGCGAGTTGCGGTGTTCACGATGACTACGGGCTGAACACCGGGTGGACCAAAAAATCATTCAAAAACATTCAGAGTTCGTGCATCTGGTAACGCGGCATTCGTTAACAGTGCATTTCCAGAGATATTTTTTTGCCATGTACTATCCGGCTTTCGAATGAACTCCCCTCCAAGGTGCTTCCCAAACGCTGTGACATGTCCTTCTTCAAACGAGGTTTGCGGAGAGTTTGCAGCAGTAGACAGAGCCTTAACATTTAACATTTAACATTAAGTTAACATTTCCGCCGTCCATGAGAGACAGTAACTACTAACATCAAGTGGGACGTAGGCTCGTCTGTCTACAACGGCTGTAAAAATTAAATTAAAAGCTTGTCTACCTGTATTGTAAGACATTACAAGACAATTGAGATGACGTCATTGACTATCTCGAGAAAATATCGAAATCGTTGTTTACAGCTGTAACTTAGTCATGTCGTCTTGTCCCTTATTGAGATTTAGCAATCTTAATAAACATATTTGTTTATTTATCTTAATAAACATATTTGCTTTATTAAGCCTTACGAAAATCTACTCACTGGTCTATCACCAAAATAATCAGCTCTTTTATCTCTTGAAATATGTCTCGACGTATCTTGAATCCGATAGTTGTAATGTGTTGATATATTTGAAAAAAAAAAGTCAAGTAAAGAAGAAAGAACACTGATTTCCTTGAATTTGGTTTGTTAGAGTCAAAGAAGCTTCCAGGTTTATGTCAGTATAATATAATTCATTATTTTTTTAGGTATATAAATGGAGAACGAGAAATTTGCTTCATCAAATGGCCCGACGGTAGCTACCCAACATCTTTAAGTGATTACTGGTAAGCTACATTTCCTTTGCTGCTGATAGAGCTTATTGAATGATAGTCGTCGAGCCTCTTTCGAAGCGAATCAGACGCAAGTCCAATTAAAAGGGTGCGTCCAAACACCACATCATCATTATCCTGTTCTTCTCCCAGTCACCTGGGGTCGACGCAACATGTTTTCTCCTTCCATACTCTTCTATCATATTTCTTCTTTCACTTCCTTCTTACCCATATCGTCTTTCACGCAATCCATCCATTTCTTCTTAGGTCTACCTCTTCCTCTATATCCTTCCACGTTCATAGTTAACATTCTCTTACCCACCTCATTTTCATTTCGTCTCATCACATGTCCATAACATCCCAAACGCTTCTCAGCTTCTCTGTCACAGGTGCCACTTTCGGGCTTCCTCTAACATATTCGTTCCGTATTCTATCCATTCTTGTTACTCCACACATCCATCGCAACATTCGCATCTCTGCTGCATGCAATCGCCTTTCATCCGCCACGTTAGTTGTCCAACAAGCGGATCCATACAAGACGGCAGGCCTTATTAAGGTCTTATATATCTTCCCTTTTAGGGGAAGAGGAATCCAAAGAGGAATCCAAAAAAGAGAGAGAAGTCCAAACACCACATATACTCACACAATTGAGTCTCCGCTTTCGAATGTAGGCATGGGCACTTAGGTTGTGGTGTCCGTCACCTGGCCAAGAGCGATATTGCAAAACAGAGCTTACAAGAAATTTTTAATGCAGCCGTCTTTATTATTATGAACATTTTTTTTATTGCCCTTGTAGACAGACGAGCATACGGCCCACCTGATGGTGAGTGGTTACCGTCGCCCATGGACTTCAGCAATGCCAGGGGCAGAGCTAAGCCGCTGTCTACTGATAATTCGTAATTCGTAATTAATTAATAATTCGTACCGATAATTCATATATAAAGGGCTCATATCTCTTTGGGCACTCGTAAATACGTAGGTACTTTATATTACGTAGCTTTCACTCGAGGAATATACATGTCCTGTCTCGGGCTACTCACAACCCTATGGGAAGAGCGCAAGAAAATGCCTTGGCATTCTACTAGTTGACTATACATGTATGTATGTATAACAAAAAAAGTCATTTTAATAGCATATCGGGAAAAAAATCACATTATTAGATTAAAGTAATAACATTAGTATACTACAATCGGCTGATGATACGTGTACAAAATTTAAAGATAATTTGACGTCCTGAAGACGTTGTAAGATATCGTTACACAGATGGCTATGCTTGTGTACAGAGAAGTAGTGTCACCACTTTAGGTGTTATTTTAGTAGTGGTCAATAATGGTTCAGGGCGTTGTCGGAAGTGAGATAATTAAATAACACAACTGGTTAATCGGAGCGATTATTCGCGACTGAACTTAAAAAGTAAAAAGCAACGGAGCCGCATGTTATGACTACAAACAATTTTGTTTGTTTGTGTCCCTACAAGTTCAAACGAATAAAAGCGTGCTAAGCATTATAATTCGACCCTAGACTAATCAGCATCGTCTTCCTCTGTCTCTAGACACCCACTACTGGGCATACGCCAGCCACAAACATAAGCACAATGGCCTATCCTATACTGTTCGTATCCAATGGATTTTATTCGACTAAGGGTTCTTGCAACATTAATGTAGCTTAAATTTGTCTAAAAAGACACTTTCCTAGTTTTCCAATTACAGAGCATAATTCGACTCAGTGGCGCACAATGCCGAATTATGCTGAAGTTTAATTGCAACGTGAATTAGTTTTCAAATGCATCAGCAGAGTGCGCTAAGTTCAATGTTGAAAATAATGTGGTAAACAATAATAAATTGGTTGAAAAGTATTTACGGTTATTTTAAGCAATTTGGATTTTGATTATTTCATTAACATTTTTTTACGTTTTGAGTATTTTTTTTAAATGAGAAGATAATTACGTACTTTTTAATTGAATCATCCATACTTATATTTAGTTTTTTAGCACAATTTGAATTAGCTTTGATTATTTCCAAGAAACTACGACGACACGAAAGCCTTACATATTTTTTCATCAATAAATAATATTACTAACGATAATATAGACAAAATTTCGATCAATGCCAACTTAAAGAAAAAACACTTGTCAATTTTCTGTCACTGAGTTGGTATCGATTGCGCGTATCACGCGAGAGCAGCAATTGCTCTTGAGTTGTTAGGTCTCCTTCGGAGGCGCTCGGGCAGTTGCCACCAAATCCCACCCCTCCTGGCTGAGCCTTTGCTCGCCCACCTGTCCTGGTGAAACTGGAATGGCCCGATTTGAGAGTGCTCGATTGTGCGAAGCGTTGCTGTAGTTACAACATTCAACGTTCACCATTATGCCGCATAATGCGCTCTAGTGCTGTAATTGGAAAACTACCTTTGTGCGTGTATCGCTAGGAGTATCTATATATTAATACGTGATGCAAAAACTTTGTATCCCTTTTTACGAAAATTGCGCGGACGGAGGAGTATGAAATTTTCCACACTTATAGAGAATATAGAGAAGAAGTGCACAATGCTAATATTTTTATTAAATAATGCATACATTAAATCAATAAAAAAAACATTACACACACTACATACCATGTATTTGACGCACACACGCATGCATACTATTTATTGTCAAACTTTTGTTCTTGACGTCTGTTGACAAATTGAGAATAGGTTAAATATTGTTTGTCTTTGTTAATATTTTTTATAGTGTAGTCTTGGCGAAATTTGTCATTATGGAAGTATCAAATACAATCATAATATTGTACAAACTTACAATTCCAATTAATTATAGTCGAATTTCGACTACTGCGGGACCTCTAGTAAATATTAATCATACTGTAAGTTAAAGAATACAACTACATACAAGTACAAGTAGGAGAATTTGAAAATAGATGTGAAACATGAACTCAAATTTCATTTTTGTTTCGACTGAAGGTAAATTTTTGTACGCGTTCCGTGAGAGAATCGTAAATGTATACGTCAAATTTATGTTATTCCCAAATCCGTTTGTGAATAATGCAACTCTTTGGCTTGTAGCCAAATTTAAGATTTATTTGCATTGTAGTAAAAACCTTATTCAGTTGAAACTGAATTATATCTGACGTGTAGTTATATCATTGTGTTGGCAAACAAAAACAAGGGAAATCGATATAGTACATTCTAAAAGATGCGGAGTGAAAACGTAATTTGAAACATAACTCTAATTTCTAATTAAGTATATTGAACGTATATTTTCCTGTTTTTAATTATATTTTATAAAATATTTATTACAGCCCTCTTTTTTGCAATTGAAATGTTTGATAAGTTCCCTTTGTGTAAATGTGAAGAATAGGATAAGAACTTAGTAGCCTTTTTCACCGAGTAGTTTAACATACCGTTGTCTTTTCATGTTATATAAAAATTAAAAATATAAAATATGTTGTAAACCATACTATAGTAGAATTATTTTGTCCGTGCAGTTTGGGTCATAAAACATAGCCAGGCTAGGGCGGTGAGCATGTTGCGCGGGCGCATCGCCTTTATCGATAAAAACAAATGAGTCATCGAAAGCAGGTACACGGTGGCGGGGTGGTATACGAAGTGTGGTGAGACATTGTTATGTTAAGAGTCATTTGTACTTACCTGCAAATTATAGTACATTATGTCGAAGAGAAATGTGTTTTTATCCATTCGTTCTTTGAATTTCTTTAATAACACAATGGCTACTCCTTTGTTTTGTATCAAAACGTCAGAATTTATTCAAAATAATATTTGCACGTGTTGTTATCAACAATGTGTTAAAAAATTTTTACTGAAATAAGAATAGATCCCGAAAAGTTACAAAGTGTTAATTTCTGCCGTTCTCGTTAACTTGCTGCGGCGATATGTGCTGTAATTGTTCAATTAGTGATTTTTTCTTTCATTTTTATCACTAACCCACAAAATGACAAAACTAAATATACTATCGATAACGCTTATCGATAACAATAATGCGCACCACTATGCCCGTCCATAAGGCTCGTGAGTGGAAGAGAGAGCGAAATACTCGCTTCACCGCTCCGATTTTTTATGACCCAAACTGCACGGACAAAATAATTCTACTATATAGTGGTCCCCCGGTAGTCGAAATTCGACCATAATTAATTGAAATTATAAGTTTGTACTCTATTATGATTCTATTGTCAAAGAATCTTTATTATATACTTCTATAATCTCAGATTTCGCTAAGACTACACTTTAGACAAATATTAATAAAGACAAACAATATTTAATCTATTCTCAATTTGACCATAGACAATAAGCAATAAGAAAAGTTTGACAATAAACAAATAGTACCTATGCATGTTTTTTTTTTTTTTTATGATTGAAAGTTTACTGGTGGCCCGAAGGCCTTTCCAGTTTCACCAGGACAGGTGGGCGAGCAAAGGCTCAGCCAAGAGGGGCTGGATTTGCTAACAACTGCCCGAGCGCCTCCGAAGGAGACCTAACAACTCAAGAGCAATTGCTTCGCGAATGAATCTACTACCGGATCGGAATCGCGACCCGCTGAGAAGATCCGGCGAGAAACTCAGCGGGCTGATGCATGGGTTAGGTTGCACGGCGAACTCTTTGTCGAGTTCGACGAGTACGGTTACCGGGGTCCCTAAGCCTGCTCCTAGTATTAGAGCTGAAGGCATCTAATGCAAAGGTTATTGGATCTGATGGATCCGTAAGGACGTGTCTAGGGCGTCGACGGTGACTGGCTCCTGCATGATCAGGATTCGGGGAGTAGTCAGCGGCAGCAACGATAAGGCGATTATCATGACGCATAGCCTTATCGAAGTATCGTTCCGACGCTGACTTCATGTATTTCCGAATTGATTCGAGGCCCAGGTCGTCGTGTAGGTCAACGTTCCTCACGAACCACGGAGCCCCGACAGCTAACCTGCAAAAGCAGGATTGTAGGGATTGAAGGGTGTCTATGTGTGTGCGGGCCGCGTGAGCGAACACCACACTCGCGTAAGTCATGACGGGCCTTATGCAAGTTTTGTAAAGTGTCACCTTGTTCCGAAGGGACATTTTACTCCGCTTACAGATCATGGGGTAGAGTCTACCGAGAATAAACGCGGCACGGTCACGGACTGATTTTATATGCGGGCNAGCCTCGTACTGATCGCGCGTTTCTCTCATTATTGTATTTTCATATATTTGTTAGTCGTTTGTTTTGTGTCTCGTTAATTTGTTAATAATCTGTAGTGTATCGTGTTGTCGTAATATAGAACTATTTCTCGTATTGTTTCGTTTAATTTTTTATATCCAGTAAACTCCAGTCGTGCGTCGGAGCGGACACACACACTTTTTTATGTATTACTTAGACATTTTTGTCCACCTTGAGATTTCATTGTTCTTATTACATGTCTGTGCAAAATCGACTTACTTATATTAAATTGCTTAGCTATTTCAACTAAAGACTTATTCCCAATTGCTGTTTTTAATATTAAGGGATAATATCTCTTATAAGGCTTTGCACTCTTTGATACGTACACGCGAGGCATATCTAAAAAAAGAAAACAATACGTAACTGATAATATAAATATTTACCAAACAATGAAATAACACATTGATAATTTTGAATAAAAGTTCTAAACAAAAACATCATGAATAAACCAGATTTTTACCAACAAATTTAAAAATATTGTTATAACTACATAGACAACCCTAGAAACCTGTACCTATTTATACTCAGGTCGTTTCCATTTCACGTATTCTCATCCCAATTGACCCCTTTTTCGCTGTTATTTGTACCTAAGACGTCCCCAATATCCCCAAAAACAACAGATTTTTACATGTATTTTTATTTTATCAAATACATTAAAACCAATAACAACTGAGACTTACCTTTAATATACCTAAATAACGTTTATAAATAACAGTCGTCTTCTATTATTATCAAATAAATAAAAGAGAGCAAAGTTTCTAGCACTAAAATAATTACCACCACAGAAAGTTAATTTGAAACGCGATTTTTTATAAGTTAGCAGCTATTATCATGCATATTCAAAGTTGTTTTGTAAACTTTCAACGTTCTACTATTAAACTACAAAAAATGGAAGATTTTGCAACGAATATAAAACTAATATTGAGTGTTGAAAGATTTCCCCGGTTTTTTCCCGATTCGCCTCTCAATCCCTAATCGCCCCATTTTACGGTACTTAATAATATAATGACAATAAGTTTATTATTATGTGTATAATCTATGTTTAAGCCACTGTTTTTTTAAGGGATTTTATGACCTGGTAACTAAGACTTTTAGGTCAAGTCGTTTTTGTTGAACAATGCCAAAAATATCAATAACAGTATACTATAATGCGTTCCCTTTAAGCAGTAACCAGTATAGCTAACTCTAAAGAAACGGCTTCGCACTTTACTAAATTGACGTCACACGTTGCAGTGCTCATAGTGCAAATCGGAACATAGCTTTGACAGGACTGTCACTACTATCATTATTATCAAATGTCAATTTCTTGTCAAATTTTACCTTCGAAATATTCTGAAATATTGTATACACACTCGCATTGAGTTTGTCCATTTTAAATGGGAGTATTATCAACTGTATAAATAAGAGCTATCACAATATTTAAGCCATAAAATGGCTGCGATAGCACTAAAAACTCAAGCTACTAGCAAATTACTTCGTGAGTACAGAATGTATTGTTCAATAATCTGACACGATATTTTAGTCTTACATAATGACATTCAGCTGTTTATGTACAGATAAAAAATGTATAATAAATAATATGAAATTGCGTAAATTTCACATAAAATTTCAGATTTGAATGGGTCTATGAGTGTTGTGTACATCAAAGCCGCTAACTACAGTTCGGATCGTAAACCCAACCTTGCAGCATATAAGCGAGGTACTGGTGGCCGCAGTAGCTTTAACGGCATCGTAGCCACAGTTTTCGGTTGCACCGGATTTGTCGGACGCTATGTGTGCAATAAATTGGGAAAAATTGGTACCCAGGTAAGAACAAATACTTTTGAATCTGAGTCTTCTGCCTATCAAAAATACCAGTACAGCATGCAAATATAAAGAGAATGCGATGTTCTTAAACAAAAATAAATTGTAAATTAAACATGTCTAAAGATGTCTAAAGGCTCATGTTACCCCTACGAAATACCATATATGAAAGTATTCATAGAACCAACCTTAAGGATACTCATCTTAATATTTTAATCCATTAATAAATAATCCTTATCTAATGGCCTCAAGTTCGAAATTTCTCCTGCATAATGGGTGCAAGGTGGATAAAGGATTCAAGTGTGATGATTAGGGGTCCCATAACCTCTTCAAACCTCGTGAGATATGACCNGTTACCCCTACGAAATACCATATATGAAAGTATTCATAGAACCAACCTTAAGGATACTCATCTTAATATTTTAATCCATTAATAAATAATCCTTATCTAATGGCCTCAAGTTCGAAATTTCTCCTGCATAATGGGTGCAAGGTGGATAAAGGATTCAAGTGTGATGATTAGGGGTCCCATAACCTCTTCAAACCTCGTGAGATATGAGCTCATTTAACAACCTATCTAATCAAAAAAAGAAGATTATTGCCCCTACATTTACTACTCTTAAATAGGGATATGGACATAAATATTTTTGCCTTTATGCTATAATTTTTCTGTTCATGTTTTATGCAATAATTCTTTTTTTAAATATACATTTTTTTGTTATGAGTGATGTCATGATCATGATCAAAATCCCTACCGGATTAAACATTTTTTGATAAATATATTAAGTGACAGGATTTTTAGATTAACCTGAATATCTATTGCAGTTAATTTTACCATACAGAGGCGATTTCTATGATGCCCAAAGGTTGAAAGTGTGCGGAGATTTAGGCCAGGTCCTGTTTACTCCTTACCATCTCCTTGATGAGGAGTCTATTGCAAAAGCGGTCCGATACTCTAATGTTGTCATCAATCTAGTTGGACGAGATTATGAAACTAAGAATTTCAAATACAATGATGTTCACGTTGATGGTGTAAGAAGAATTGCCAGGTTTGTTTTGTTATCAAAAGATCAAAGAAATATAAAACTAAAATAAAGTCGAACTGTTAATAATAATAAAAAAATATTAAATTATAAATATGTTCAATTATTTTGCTTTTAAACGGATTTGAAATAAAATGCATCAGCCATGTCTACTCAGAATTATAGTTTAGTCATAAAATACGATATTATAATGGATAAATATTTACAACAGACTCTGCAGAGAAGAAGGAGTTGAGAGATTCATTCATCTGTCTTATTTAAATGCTGAAGAACATCCGAAACCTCTTGTCCTGAAGAAACCGTCTGCTTGGAAAATAAGCAAGTATTTGGGAGAGTGTGCAGTCAGAGAGGAATACCCAACTGCCACTATTATCCGAGCATCAGACATCTATGGTTCCGAAGACAGATTTTTGAGGTTAGAATCGAATCACCTAATAATATAGGTCTGTTGCTTTATCTCAAAATATTCTGTCTTTGATTGAGTAAAATTCTTGGTAAAATTAAAGAATAAGCTACAAAAGTCAGACAGCACAATTGTGAAAATGTTATATAGACAAAAAACACACCATTAAAGCTAAACGGAAGAGTGTCTGTAAAATGTATAGGCTTACCTGACACCACAACAACAATCCGTTGTCTGTCCATCTATTTTTTTTATTATTAAATTAATTAAAAAGATATATATTCGATTTTTCTAATGCGATGAGAACTGGCATAATAACAAAAAGTAATATATGATGAGCTTCCGTTTCTACTGTTCACAATGCTAAAGCGAAGCATCTTAGGTATCGAAGCGAAGCATCTTCTCTTACATCTATTAAAAGCGAGTAGGTGCTCTCAGACTTGAAATGTGGGACAGCTGTACAACAAGGGGTTACAGGAATATTGTTAGAAAATTACTCAGGTATTTTACGATTTAAATGATTAATTATATTTTTTAGAACTATAAATCAACAAGATACTTTTAACAAATGTATACACATACATACATATAAAAATAAATAAAATTCTAAGTCAGTATTAAGTTATTTTTCAGATCATTCAGTCTCTTCTGTATTGTCCAATTTTCTACCTTAAGAATAGTCCTTATTGTTGAAGTTGTCAAATTCAATGCAGCACCAATTTGAGATTGACATTCACCAGTATCTAAACTTCTAATCACTTGTATTTTAGTATCTAGTGTAATGCTTTTTCCTAGAATTCAAATCAAAGAGCTTTAAACCGAAACAGCGTTAAACGGGGTTTTATAGTAGTTAACTATGCGGCCTCGGAATTATTTCCCCTGCTCAATATATCCTGAGCGCTGTGACAGGTCTTTCTTCAAACGAGTACTCAGCGATACTTCGCGGCTCTATTGTTCCTGAGGAATTGCTGACATCCATGAGCAACGGTAATCACTCACCATCAAGTGGGCTGTTTGCTCGTCTGCTTACAAGTCGTCTTTTCGCATTAAAAGTGTACAATTTCCTAAAATATTCGAAATTGAGTAAATATGCGGATCATTTGGTATCACCAGTATTTTTCTCATAAATACTGTCAAAATAGCGTAGTTTAGTTTTAGTTTGTCTATGTTTTGACTACTATTAACAAAATTAATACATAATTTTATCCTACTTTAAAAGACAGATAATGTAACTGCTAAAAAATAAAAAATAAATGTTGCAAAGATGATTAATATTAAAAATATCACATGTTAAACCTTTAAAACACTCTCCTGTAAAATTAGTAAGTTTTGAGATTATACAGTTTTAATGCAAGAAGACGAAGTGTCACCGTCATGTCGTGGATGTCGACGGGCCTACCGAACTATACCGATATACTGCAACTATTTTCAGGTCATTAGTTAATAAGATGCGATCTCACAGCAACCTGATGCCCCTCTATAAAAACGGATTAGCGACTGTGAAACAGCCTGTGTTTGTGTCGGACGTCGCTCAGGGTATCGTGAACGCCGCGCGCGACGACGACACTAAATGTGAAGTCTACCAAGCCGTTGGGTGAGTTCCATCTTAAATATTAAACGCAGAATACAAATAGTTTGCAATTACAGCAGTCTTGTTTTCTGGTTTGAAGGATGAGCTATACTCTATTCCAATTACAAAGTCCCTTTTGAAACTTCTTAGAACGTAACTCTTTACGTTTCGCATAATTTGAAATAATTCGAATCATTTTTTGTTCATGGTCGTAAATATCATTTAAAAAATACACAATGAATCTAAATCATTACACAATTAATTCACACACACAAGAACATAATAGTAACATCTGTCTCATGGGACTCCGTAATTGGAATAACTGTTATACTAAACAATTGAGACTAAGACCTCATGACTCAAGGTTTTTGGGGACATTCGTGCTATAATGTATTGGCTCCAGTAACCATTTAACACCATGCGCGTCGTGAGTTCGTTCAAAACAAAAAAAAAAAAATGTTGCAATCCTTAATGTGTTTTCAGGCCAAAACGCTACTTACTTGCCGATTTGGTTGATTGGTTTTACAAACTAATGAGGAAGGACGAAAAATGGGGTGGATACATTCGCTACGACATGAAGTACGACCCGATACTGCCCCTGAAAGTTGCTTTGGTTAACGCCATTTCACCAGCTTATCCACTCGGAAATCTTCACTGGGAAGGAATTGAAAGGGTAATTAAAATTAACTTATCTGATACAATCAAAATATATATCTTCTATATATGATTAGAATATTTATTATTTATTAATTATTATTAATATGATTAGAATGTAACTATACTGAGACCCTTAGAACTTATATCTCAAGGTGGGTGGCGCATTTACGTCGTAGATGTCTATGGGCTCCAGTAACCACTTAACACCAGGTGGGCTGTGAGCTCGTCCACTCATCTAAGCAATAAAAAAAATAAAAAAATTTGGTTTATCCGGATGACTTGAACCCTGTCATGTTTCAGGAAATCTATACTAATATATAAATCTACAGTGGTTTTTACGGCAGTTCCGTTATAACTACTGGACTGTGCATCCGATTGACTTGAAACTTGGTATCCATGTAGAAAGTACATGTACTTAATGGATAGGCTAATATTTATATTAGTGTTGGACTCCCTACACCAGTTGCGGGGGCGTTAATGATGAGAATTTTTGTGGGGGTGAGAAATAATGTTAAATGCCCAGCGAAGCGGACGGGTACAGCTAGTATTTCATAGTATTACCAACGTTAGACAGGTGTCGCACGAATAATGTCTGCAAATCAATATTCTGAAAAACATTATCATTAAATGATAATGACAGCGTGGCTGTACGGCCCTATTAATAAATTTAAATTTAACTATAGATGTAACTAAAATTTTCACTCCTTTCTGTGAAACGCAGCGCATATCACACAAAATACGCTTTGAATTTTCAGACATTGTAAAAAGTCGAAATAATGTAATGGTTTGAATTACAGGAAGCTACTTCAGATAATGTGGTGATCGGCGTGCCCACCCTTGAGGATTTGGGCGTCACCTTGACGCACATGGAAGACCAGGTGCCATGGGAACTGAAACCTTTTCGCGCCCATCAGTACTACATGGATCGGCTTGGAGAGTTCCCGAAACCAGACCCTCCACCAGTTTACTCAGCTTGAATTGTTTTTATAAATAATAGCTACCTCTTGAATAAACATTATGGGCATGTAGACAAAGTTTAATAAATTAAAACAATTATGCTTTGGATTTTATTAAGAAACTAGCGACCCGCCCTGTCTTTGCTTCGAGGAGTGTAATTTATTATTGATCTTATTGAATATTCTTTTATACAAATCTGGTCCTGACAGAAACAAACACATTAAAAAAAGAACGTAGGTAACAAACAAAAAATCTAATCTTTCGTCTTCTTAAATTAATGGTCCACTATATTGGCGATAATGGCTTACAAATAAACGATAGATAAATAATAAACATTTCTATTTTACATATGGTATATGTAACTCAAACGGTTTTTACGACGCACTCAAAAATAGATCGCACATGGCAGTTTTTTTTCCTTTTTATTTGACACTTAGCATTTTGGGTAATTCGCACAACCTTTTTATAAATTACTAGCTGACCTGGCAGACTTCGTAGTGCCTCAATCGATAAATAAAAGACCTAAGCTTTTGTATAAAATAAACTTAAAACAAACCAAAGAAATCTGTACGACGGGGGGGAAATCAAAAAACAAAATTGTTATTTTTATTTAATTCCAAGCATTTTCATATTTATCTACCTTTTAAACCTTCTCTGGACTTCCACAAATAATTCAAGACCAAAATTAGCCAAATCGGTCCAGCCGTTCTCGAGTTTTAGCGAGACTAACGAACAGCAATTCATTTTTATATTATAGATAGCCTATGTGTTATTCTGATATGAGGCTTAGTGTCATATATAATTATTTCGAATCCACAGCAATTTTTTGAGCTAAAGCTTAAAAAATTACTTCCATACAGCTTTTCATCCCCCCTTTCAACCCTTTACCTTTATCCCCCCTTACCTTTTTCGCATTCAAAATTCATTAACATTAAATAGCTCATGTCCTTTCTGACGCTCTAGACTATCTGTGTACCAAATTTCATTTAAATCGGTTTAGTAGTTTCGGGCTTTTGACTTGAAAGCGCGACAGACAGACAGTTACTATCGCAATATAATATTAGTATGGTTAATAATTTATTTTAAAACTGTAAAATTATTTTGTAGACGTATGTAGTGTTTGAAGCCCACAAGGCAAAGCGCGTGGTGTACACGTATCGACCACAATTATATTTGAAACTGTATTCCAAAGAATATTCAACGCGAGTTCACAAACGACTTTTATAACGAAGGGCTAATGTCTTACAAAAATCACACCCACAAAACTTGCAAATTATTGGTACCTAGTAGGTCATATTTTAAACCACCTAACATCCTGGCTCTTCGTTCCTAGATCTAAAATTTTTCTTGTATTCTGAAATACTGTAAAGGCCATGTACAACGAATCATCTAATTCAACGTATTTTTCAATATGCACAGTATTCCAATCCCCCAACCATTAGCTTTTTTTTTACCTATGCTGATAGCCTTGAAAGGCTATTTCAGCTTCGCCCTAACATGTGTGAGCTCACGGGGCTCAAACCGGAGTGTTGCTAACACTGACCCTAGTAAGAGCAGTCCTTCGCAGAATCTACCATTGGGTCGGAAACGCGACCCACTGAGAAGATTCGGCGAGAAACTCAGTGGGCTGTGTCTGAGTTAATTCGCTCGTCGAGCCCTTCGTCACAAGCGACGGGTTCGACGAGGACGGTGATCGGGCATCCACTAGAATAAGCTCACGGTATATGCAAGAATCACTAATCACATCAATGAGGCAGTTAAGTACTACTATATTACTCACAAGGATTGAGAAGGAACTCACACTAGTTTCTTAACATGCTGAATGCTGTGGCCCACCAATGGGCCTAGTCTACTATACCATTCAGGCCAAGCCAAAATCAGGGAATTAGTAATTTTTATCAACTTCAATTTGATAATTTGCACGGAAGGTAACAATTAGCGACTTTTAGCGCCTAGTTCTTAAGGCATTTTAAAATAACTAAAACTTTCTATTGGATTTGAAAACAAAGACATTTGGGTCAGTTAAAGGCCTCGCGGCTCACTTCCGTACGCGATTTGTTTTATAGCTGCAATCTATAGCTTGTTTACGTAGGTTACGTGTTAAGTGTTTACGTAGTGATGGGTGATCCTCATGGCCCGAATGGTTCAATAAGATAAGGCTCAGCAGACCATCAGAGTACTTTCAGATACAATCAGATATTATGAAATATATATATTTTTAAATACAAAACTTAGTTCCATCCAAAAAAACACCATTGACTTATTTTAAGTTTTTTTATTGCTTAAATTATGAAGCAGGCCTGCCACGTCCATAGCCTCCCTTCTGCAAATAGAAATATTTTCTTTGAATAATTTAAGCAATTAATATTTAAATATAATAAAACACAAAGCAACAAAACTGGTTTCAGACATGCTTTCTTCTCAACAAAACAAGCAAATTTTGTTGGTTTAACCCGATGGGACCTGTAGTTATGTGATAAACATATTTCAGGATTGTTTCAGATCATAAAATATTGTCACAGACCCTCTTAAAAAGTCTAAAACTTTTTCGAAAAGAGTACCAGGTAATCCAACATATTTAGTTAATATACATACAATACAACCAGTTCAAACACATTAATGAAGATTTACAAAAATAAATTTGTATTTTCATATTATAAGCATGTCGGATAACAGGAGTAGATTTTACTGAAGTCTACTGTATGTTTCAGGTGCTTGTAACTTTTCAATCCAGTCTACAATTAACAGGCACAACAATATAGGACTTACAAATTCAAGATCAGCTGAGCCTGGACCAACATCAGCCTTTTTATCATGAGGTGCAACACCAGGGGCAGCAGGAGTACGTCTGTATGCAGATCTGTCCTCAGCAGAGCGGGCTGGGGCATCAGGACGACCAACAGGGCCACGGCGTACTGTCTCTGTACGTACTGAGCGCTTAAGTGTTGCAGGCACAATTTCAGGAGGAAGGTGCAAGAATATTCTCAAGTATTCAATACCCTCATTGGTTAGGTACCTGAAGAAAATTTTAGAAAAAATATTTATAGAAATTAAGGTTAGACAAAGAAATAGTAGATTTTATTTAGTGCCCAGATGTGTTTAGACGTCACTAGAGCCCATAAATATAAACAAGAATGCCATTTGCCTTAAGCCATGAGCTCAGTCTCAACTTTATAGTGCAACAGGTGTCCCCCTCCCCTCAAACTGGAACCCAGATGAAGCCGGAATACAAAGGCGGTTTACAAAATACCCCAATACCAGTAGAGTTCAGATTGAGCACTTAGAGAACACCAATATCCATTTTTCACTAAAACCTTAGTTGCAATTTATGAAATCCAAAAGAGATGCAGTGTTGATATTACGGGCATTGACACCACACAAGACACGATATGAGAATTAAATAATCCATTGAAAAGGTAAGTGATCTAAACAAAAATGTCTAAAATCAACAACATCAGATGTTTAAAGGTTGGTATTTCTCTGAAGGTAAGCAGCTTTTTTTTCAGATTCGTCATTTTGGTTGACAAAAAAAAAGTTATTAGTGAAATTAATTTGATGCGCCAAACAATTCATATTATAATTAATGTGTACTCTATTGCACACCTAAACAACAGACATTGATTGACAGATATAAGTTAATCTCAATATTGAACATTCTCAACAAATTGTTAAAAGGTATAAAATATTAGTGTTTATATTAAATTAGTGTAGTTGATACAGAATTCTATGAGAATCGTATCATTACATTAAATCTATGAAAATTACGACAAATAATAGACAACACATGAAACATAATAAATATCTACCAGTAAAAGTGCCTCCAGGCAAACTGTTCTTTGACATAACCTCTGGACTTGAGTGATTGCATAGCTTTGATAACTTGGAGGTTAGGAATCTTCTCTAGTTCAGTATGCTTCGGTGCATGATAGTCTTTTTTGGCTACCATGACTCCCTCTTTAAAGAGGTACTCATAAATAGCAACACGGTTTTGTTTGGGCATCAACATCTTGAAAGCCGCCTAAAACAACAAATTATTGGGTTAAGACATACAAGTGAAAAAAACGTAGCACTTCTTGAAATATATTCATCACAAGATTACGCAATAACTTTTTTCTTCACTTATAACACTTATAATAAGTAATATGCACTGATTAATGTATTTAAGATCGATTTTATAAGAAAAACTGTACTACCTGTAGGCTAACTTAACACAGAAAAGAGCAAGGGGATTGAAGGGAAGTTTGTTGAAAGCTGTCAACTGTCAAATAGCAATCAATCGACAATCATCAACTTTGAATTCATACAGCCAAATCTTTTGTAGGGAAGACATAATATGAATATTAACTGAAATGTAAAATTGGAATGAATGGAATGAAATGACTAAAGGAAACGAAATTCAATGAGATGTTGTGTGTGTGTTTATATGAGCGCGCGCGTGCATGCATGTGTTAAAGTGAGTTTCGTCGAAATGAGGTTATTTCATTTAATTTCATTGAACACCTACAAATGTTTTACATCCATGTTGTTTTATTTCCATTAAATAGTGTCCGACTAACTTTTCATACTCGTACAAGAGACATACTTTAAGCGCTTACTACAGCAGATTTTGCTTGTAGTCAACATATCGTTTGTAGTAGCATAAAAAATGAAGAAAATTTATCAGTTACTTCATTTACTTTCATCCCAATTGATTAAAGTCTCAGATTACAGATTTCGTTTCGTTTCGATTCATGTCATGCTTCTTAATAATCAACTTCATTTCATTTCATAATATCATTTTTCATGGCCGTTTTCCATTTACCATTACTTAATGGTAGTTTTCCAATTACACAGAATAATCCGACTCAGTGACGCACAATGCCGAATTATGCGGAAGCTTAGTTGAGCATTATGCCGTATAATGCGCTCTTGTGCTGTAATTGGAAAACGGCCCATATAGAGAAAAGTTTTCATTAAAATTAAAATAAGACTTGACCTAAAGGTCTTAGTAACCAGGTCATAAAATCCCTTTAAAAAAATCAATTCATGTCATCAAATGTCATGTTAGGTTAGATTAATTACAGAGCAGACTACGAATTTCAATTTAATTTAATGTCAAAGTTTAACTACTTTGTCAACTGGACAATTAATATTTTAAGCTTAAAATAAGTGTTACTTTTAATTAAAATGGATTTTCAAAATCGCCCTGGCGGTAAAACTGGTGGAGGAGGTGTAGCGTCATGGTCGGAAAGTAACAGAGACCGGCGGGAGAGATTACGACAGCTTGCACTAGAAACAATAGATTTAAACAAAGATCCATATTTTATGAAAAATCATTTAGGTGAGTAATAAACGTTAGTTATAACTTCAACATGTTAACCTCGTTCACTTCACAAACGTAAACTTCATTTTTAGGGTCCTATGAATGTAAACTTTGTTTAACCCTGCATAACAATGAGGGAAGTTATTTGGCTCACACGCAAGGGAAGAAGCATCAAGCCAATTTGGCACGTAGAGCTGCAAAGGAAGCCAAAGAAGCGCCTCAACAGCTTGCCCCGGAAAAACCTAGAATTGAACCTAAGAAATTTGTGAAGATTGGTAGACCTGGTTACAGAGTAACAAAACAGAAAGATCCTGAAACTGGACAGCAGAGCTTGCTCTTCCAAGTAGATTATCCAGGTACAGTCATTTCAATGATTATGAAAAGTGAAATTGAAATAAAAGTAGTTTAAATAGGTTTTCTTTTACAATTATTATATTTCTAATTTTTTACTCTTTAAAATTTATTTTAAGTCATTTAGATGAAATAATTCTTATTAACCATACTAAAAAGAGGAACAGATATTCAAATGCTGTGTAATATATTTTTTAGAGATTGCAGAGGGTGTTATACCTAGACATAGATTTATGTCTGCTTATGAACAGAAGATTGAGCCTCCAGACCGCAGATGGCAGTATTTGTTATTTGCAGCAGAGCCTTATGAAACTATTGCATTTAAAGTCCCTAGCAGAGAAGTTGAAAAGCATGATTCAAAATTCTGGACTCATTGGAACAAGGACACAAAGCAGTTCTTTTTGCAGTTTGCATTTAAGATGGATCAGTTACGCATGCCTCCCCCCCATCCCAAAATGTGGGAGGGTCATAGCATGAGGTTGCCTCCACCTCCTGGAGCACCGATGTTGGGAGTACCACCGCCACCACCATTATTACCAGTGCCCCCACCACCACCCTCTATGTAATTAGTTGATATTTTTCCAATAAAGTTTTTGACATACATTTAATTTAATTTAATTAATTAACACTCTTTTCTGTTCAATTATGGTCTTTTTGTACTTTAATGTCAAGATGTTTTTAAACGAAAATACAAAAATTTCCAATATACATAAAAAAAATTATTGCTAACGATTGTGTCTTGACTTCAATTCCTGTAATAGGTCACCAGTAAGTAACCCTTAATGCCATGTAGAATGTGAGCTTGCATTCCAAATAGTCTTTTGATACCTACTTTGAGTTTGTAGGAAGTGTGATTAGCATAATAATGTAGCTTTTAGGAATGCGTTGGGTATCTTATCCTCTTGACCATTATAACTTTTCTTAAGAATCCTTAGTAGGAACATATTACTTCAGTCCTGGGTTTACCTAGTTCTACCTCCTTGGTGTGTTTAAATGTAATTTAAAAAAAGTGTTTAGAATGGTAATAAAAAGGGAGTTTTTCATTAAAAGATATATATGTCATAACTATGATAAAAGCTTTTTCTTTTCAATTTCGTACAAATATCTCAATTCCAATTTGAACAACTTATCTTTGTCTATGTCTTTTACAAATCGTTTTTCACAAGCTTATGGTCGCAAGTTAATAATCTTACCCCGTCCTTATGGTACTAATTAAATAGTAATAACTACTAAATAAATAAAATAAAACTCAGTGTTGGTAAAATGAACATGAATCGGCAAAATTTGATGTAGCCATTTTAATAATAATCATTCTTGCTTGACTACCTATAGGTTCTTTTCAAATAAACAACTAATACACCTCGCAAACTCACTACCTTTTTTTTTTCGGCGCGGAGGCCGAACCTCCTACGAGGTTCCCGCGCCTTGGGGGCGCGCGGGGTATGTGGGACTTGACGATCTGCAAGGTGTTAGGAGCAGACCGCGGGCCCAAGGAATTTTAGGGCTCTACCGCACTAAACGACTCCCCTGCACTCTTACACCCGACGTCTGATCTCCGTCCGGGGTCAAAACCCGTCAGAGTAGGGGGTTCCCGCGGTCAACACTACAACCAGACACGTGGCGCCACAACATAACACAAATGTACGTAATTACAATTTTACATTTTTTTTCTTACCTAAGCTGATATTCTCTCAAGACCATATCAGCGTCACCGACCGAGTAGGTGAGCTCGCGGGGCTCAAACCTGACGTTGTTGCTAACCCGAACCCTCGAAAGAGCCGTGCTTCGCAGAATCTACCACCGGCTCGGAAACGCGACCCACTGAGAAGATCCGGTGAGAAACTCAGTTGGCTGTGTCTATGGGTTAATATACTCGTCGAGCCCTTCGACGGGTTCGACGAGAACGATGACCGGTGCTTGGAGTACCTGCACCGTTGGTGGATCGGGAGGATCCGAGATGACGTGTTTTGGGTGACGTCAACTGTTTACCATTCGGTCCGCAGGATCAGGAATGTAGTTACCGGCGGCCACGACGGGAGGGAGAAGAGAGGATTTATCGAAATGGAATATTACATAAACAATACCGGAATCAACTGTAATTCAATTCAAAATACATATTATCTATATAATTGCATCCCCCATCGGCCGTTTCTCCCACCTATTCGCTCGTAGCCTAAGGGGCTATTTTAACTGCTCGCCAATGACGCTGCCTTATTGACGCTAATTCTAACTTAAGCACGTTAAAACGAAATTCGAAATGTTGCAGATAAAAATGATGAACTCTTTAGTTATATATTTTATAACATAAAAAATTTAATTTCAAATTTTGGTGCTGCCACGCAGTATTTTATGCCCTATCAAAGGATTTACATTATTATGCCCTATGTATGTGTAATGTAAAGTGAATTCAAAATCAAACAGTCGAATAATTTGACTTAGATTTCTGATTTTAAATCTCGTTTATTGTTTAAAATCTATGATTCTGCGTGGCACGGAACGTATTTTAACGGTTCGTTGCAGCTGTTCGTTTGTTGAATAGATATTATTATTGTTTATTATTACCAAGCGTCAATGCATAAAACCAACCGTCCAGTTTCCCGCGCCACATCGCAGTTCTGTTCAGTTCTCGGTTTCGGTCCAAGTCAAATTCCTTCTCTTAACTTTATAAGCTAGGTATTATAATTAACTGTCCATATATTAAACAGTTAATTAAATACATATGTAATACGAAATCTATTTTATTCATTAATAATTTAATACATTAACAGATCGTTCTCGTCGTTCCGGAAAACTATTTCCGAAGAACGCGATTCTTCAAATATATTCAGCATGTTTTCAAAAGCTAAGCGGTTTGAACCACTTGGTAAGTTTATTCACTACAGTTTAATAATGAATAGAACTAATAAACTTTCCACATTTAACGGCCCCCGGATACGATTTTCTACTATACCATGGGCACCGGAAACACATTTATGAGTCAAGAATATGTATCACGAATAAACAAAGTTACTGACTCAGACTGGGAATCGAACTTGGACCCGGTAGTAGAGCGATCCAACCTACTAAGCTAGACCAGCGAGTGTGATAAATGTACTGTAATTTATTTTGTTAAAGCCATAAATTTATTGATTCCTGTTTCTAAAAGTGCTTTAAAATTCCAGTTACTCAGAAAAATCAAAAGAAGACAAACGTACATAAGAAATTAGATAGTGAAAGTACTAAAATTAATACAAAGACATCATCAAATTTGTGCAAAAGTCGCAGTAACACACTCAATTCTATTAGACCAGTCGATGGGCAGTCTCAATGTAGTAGTGTCCAAAGTAGCAAATCATTAAAATTTGCCACAGTAAGTACTGCTTAAACTTTTTTACATTATGTTTTTATTGCAAGTTCCCTGTTTGGTACAAACATGTAAATACCACATACTTGGCCTACTCCTTTGCAAAATTATTATAAATTTCTTCTACGAGTAGATAGCTATATGGTACTATAACATGTTTGCGAGAAGCTGGAATAGCCCCTTAAACTACCAGTAAATATGTAGGGAAAAAAGGTACTGTCAGCATTATTTTAATGCTCAATATTAATTGTAGTAATTGTAACATTATATGCCCTAGCTCATGTACTTATTCACTGTATTTAAAAGAATTTTTGACAATGGGCTAGGTAGTAATTGTTTTTTAACTTAGTGACAATAGTACCACATTACTGTGCACATGCAGTTGTGGGTTCAGTCTTTATAATGAAATGTATGAAAAAGTCGTCAATTGCTGTGTATAAAATATGTACATACTTAATATAAATTATAAGCGAGTTAATTAATTTCAGCCCAAAGCTTTCAAAATTACCAAAGCTCCTAACAGCAGCATTAAGAAAACATTAACATGTCCCAAAAATAAAATATTACCACAGGATGAATTAGTTCAAGCACAAGATGTTGAAATAAGGTGAGTCTTGTAAATAATTATTTCAATTAGCTGATAAATTCACTTGATCTTATAATTTTACTTATTATAATTAAATACTATTTTATTTCAGAAATAAGGACCAAACCATATTTGAGTATAACAAGCAAATAGAAGATTACAAAAATGAGATAGCTCAACTTCAAAAAATATTAAAAGAACTTGCAACTACATTTAAGCAATCTCATAACAATATTGATTTTAATGAAATTGACAGAAAACTTTCTAAGCTTAGAATTCATAACACAAATTGTCACACGGAACATAATGCAGTTCAAGGTACAGATGCTGAAAAAGTTTCTGCCATGATAAATGATATGAGAAGTAGGATTACTGAACTTGAAAAAAAATGTGAAGCACTTGACAATGAAGTGTATGATAAGCAGATGGAATTGTCATCACTGGAAGAAGTGATCACTGTAAGAGATAGTTTGTGTAAAGATTTACAAGAAAAATTAACAAGCAATGAATTAACATTAGCCGAAACACATCAGAGATTGGAGATGGTTAAGGGACACCATGCTTTGGCACTGGAAGCTAATGAAAGTATCAGGAGAGAGTACAAAATAGAATTGGAAGCTCTAAAGACTAAATTGGATGAAGAAAAACAAGCCATTATCAGTAAATGTAAAGTTGATCAAGAAAATCTTAAAACAAAACATAATGCATTAATTGAATCCTTGAAAAACCAAATGCTAAAAGAGAAATGTGAGGCTGTAGAACAACTCCATAGTCAGTTGATTATTAAAGAACAAGAAATGAAAGCGAAACTTGAACAAATTGAGGAATCTGCTAGTGAAAAACTTAAAATATGTGAAATACAGTTTGAGGAGCAGAGCCAAAGCATTCAAGAGCATTGCTTGCAGCAAGAGAAAACTATACAATATTTGGAACACGAGATAAAAGAGTTAAAATATACTTTAGATTTCGCCAACAATCAGAATTCAGATTTGAAACAGGAATTGAACAATTTGAAAAATTCTAAAGATGAATTGTCAACTGAAAAGTTTAATTTTATTGAGGAAATAAAGACTTTAAAAGATGAGCTAATTGAGAAAACTATTAACTATGAAAATGAAAAGAATAAATTAAATCTTGCAGTGGAAAAAGCTATCAAAGAGAAAAACAAATTTGAAACATCTTTGTCAGTAACAAGAGATATTGTACACGTTTTAACATTGCGATTGCGAGAATCTGACAGTGAATTAGAACAATTGGAAGATCAAGTACAGATGTTAACAAGTGCAAAAGAAGTGTTAGAAAATGAATTATCTACGTATAAAAATACTCTAAACAACACTGTCAGAGAGTGTGATGAGTATAAAGAAGCACTAGTTAACATTCTAAAATCAAAAGCAGCCCTTACCAAAGAACACACTCGTATTATGGAACATAATGTTACATTAATAGAAAGTTTACAAAATGTCGAGAAAGAAGCATACAGGGAACTTGGAACCATCAAAAATGAACTCATTGAAGATGTTGAGCTATTGAAAAAGGAATCAAATTCACAAATAAAATTTCTTCGAGAAGAGGTATATTTATTTAGTTTAAATAGGCTGCAGAATAAAGCATATGTCGCCTTTTCGCATTAAAAGTTTACAATTTCCAAAAATATTCGAAATTGAGTTAATATGCGTAAACATTTGGTATCACCAGTATTTTTCTCATAAATACTGTCAAAAGAGCGTAGGTTTGTTTTAGGGTTTTTTTTTTAGTTTACCTATGTTTTGACTGCTATTAACAAAATTAATACTTATTTTTATCTTACTTTAAAAGATAGATAATGTAACTGATAAAAAATAAAAAATAAATGTTGCAAATATGATTAATATTAAAAAAATGACATGTTAAACCTTTAAAACACTCTCCTGTAAAATTAGTAAGTTTTGAGATTATACAGTTTTAATGCGAGAAGACGATGTGTGTATTACAAAAAAATATTAATAATTACACTTTTCAAGGTCGAGAAAAAGCGTGTATTGTGCGAAATGGCTACAGAGCATGCAGGCCAGGCCACTGCGGCCGCAGAACAATCACGAGTGCTGCTCGCGCAAGCCGCTGCGGATTTGTCGCGCTTAGAGAATGAAAATGAACGATATCAGCAACAGGTAAAATATATTAGCCAAGGTGGCATTTTTGAAAAACCTCGTTGTTAGATTAATTAGCTACTACTTTTCAAGGATTTTAAGTAAAATTAGGATCGTTAAAAATAATTTGGCAATCCTCGACCATCTTCTGGTTTGGTGACAATTTTTGTGGTTTATCTTCTTATTTTGGTTAAAAAAAATCAAGGATAATACTAACTTTTCAGATACAAGATCAGCAATCATTGGTTGTCGAATTATCACTGCTGCGCCAAGAAAATGAAGAATTGACAATGACTGTTGCTAAACAATCTTCCATTATTGACAAGTTGAAAAAAGATTTGGAACAATCTCAATACACTCCGAAATCTCCATCAGTTTTGCGAAAATCACTCAAAGTCGGCAAAGAAAATATGCAAACAATATCTCCATTGAGAGAACGAAATCTTTAATCTATTTTTTTCTTTATTATTTATCTGACTTATTTTTATTTCCATTATGACTTCAAAATTTATTAATGTTAAGAAAATAACTCAAAAATATTTTTATCTACCTACTCAATGTGTAATTTATTAATCGACCTGTTTTAAACTAATATTAGAGACGTATAAAAACTACACTTAAGTAGGAAAAGTTTTTTATTTATTTAATATAGTTACAAGCTATTTATCGAAAAATGTGTTTTGTTTGTCAATTGTGCCTTTATAGACTGCATTAGCTTAAAATTAAGTTTTTATTTGTTAGTTTAATTTATTTGGTGTGATAAATTATTAAAAAACTAGTTGTCATTTTATTTTATTCTAATCATTTTTACTCGTATATTAATGTTTTTGAAATTCCGTCCAATGAATACGACCAAAACGCAGCCATATTACCAGGATCAAAAGGGATGGCCTTCCCGGCACCACTCCGGTAACTTCATTTCCTGTATAAAAATCTTTGGTCACCCAATGGCCTGACTCTCCAAGTATCTAGGCGTCACCCCGGACAGAGTGATGATATTCGGCACCCACAACGAAATAGTACGCGACCGACCCGCGTCCTACTCGATCTACTCTACCCCATGATCTGCAAGCGAACTAAATTGTCCCTTCGTAACATGGTGACTACAAAATTTGCATATTATGTTCCGTCATGACTTATGCAAGTGTAGTGTTCGCCCGTGCGCTCCGTATTGTACATTATCAAGTCTTCGAATATCGTTTCTGCAATACAGCAGCTGTGGTACATAAAAAATTACGATCTTCATGACATTCTAAATTTAGAACTAGTAAGCATAGATTATACACTTAATCTAGTAAGTATCTTAAGGTAGCGGCAGAATGCTATCGCAACAATTCGGCGGAACGCGATAACCCATTTATCGTGGCCATTGCTAATTAGATATTCGATCCAGGCGACGGGACTACGTAAAGTCGCCGTCGACCGAAACATGTCTTGGTGCATTCTCCAATTCCGGAATTCGACGAGCGAACGAAGCCGTAGACATAACCCAGTTTGAAGTCGTCGTGGCCTAAAGGATAAGAATGTCCGGTGCATTCGTGTTGAGCGATGTACCGGTGTTCGAATCCCAGGCGGGTACCTATTTTTCTAATGGAATACGTAGTCAACAAGGGAGAACATCGTGTAATAAAAATGAAACCAGCATAATTATAATTTGCGTCTTTACTGGTGGTAGAACCTCTTAGGAGTCCACGCGGGTAGGTACCACCACCCTGCCTATTTCTGCCGGTTTGAAGGGTGGGGCAGCCGTTGTAACTATACTTGAAACCTTGGAACTTATATCTCAAGGTGGGTGGCGCATTTACGTTGTGGATGTCTATGGGCTCCAGTAACCACTTAGGACCATGTGGGCTGTGAGCTCGTCCACCCATCTAAGCGATAAAAAAAAACTTAAATATCTTATGCCACCAAGTATTCATATTGTGTTTTCCATGAACTCCGGTAACAACTTATCATCTAGTGGTGGTCTGAGTTCGTTCACCAGCAATAACAATTCAATGTAAAAAATACAAGACAAAAAGTTTTCAGCAACAATCAACCAATGAAAGCCTTTCATTTATAATAAATAGAGTACTAATAAAAATATCCAAGATTAGAATTCAATTTTATTTATCTGGATTTACAAAACCTTGCAAATTATATACATTGGACAATTAAAATACTATCCAATCAATATGTTTACAGCATGCGAACGTGAGGAGATTTCCGTAAAATTCAGTCTTCTGCCAGACCTTTTGAGATTTACATTGCAGTTTTTTTTGTTTAATTTTAGGCTTAGTAGTTAATAAAAATTAATGATGGGATTGTTTGATTTTCAAATTTTTTTTACATAATAATATCATCGACGATGTGCATTTGATTTTTTTTACGCCCTTGAATATCATACACCACAATACACTTTACAAATATTCACTTATTATTCTTAATTTTATCTCTTGGAAAGATTGACGGAACCGAGGATGTCTATGTAAGGAACCCTCACCATGTTATACAGGGTGTATTAGAATAATTCCCAAGCCGGAACAAAGTAGTAGCTCTAAATGAAAAATTTTCTAGCAATTAAGTAGCAATAATTTAATATATGAGCAGACTATGAAACATGCCTGTCCCCTCTTGCTCCCTCGAAGTCGTCACAGATTACTTGTTACATTGCAATGTAAAAAACATAGAAGGTTTACCTCATCATGCCATGCGTCAAACCTAGAACATAATATTAACTTTTGAAACCGCCAAGACGTACTTGGCATAGGTCGTCGTTTTCGAAAACAATTACAGTAAAAACACAAAACACAGTCTAGACATCGAATAAACAGTTTCATGTAACCGAAAGAATATGATTACGTTTTATAGTGCTGCCTATTTGCGTGTAACAACTTAAAAATACAAGCAATTTAAGGAAATACAAGCGGTTTGGTAAATTTAAAATTACATTTTTAATTTTGCTGTTTCTTATTTGAATCGACGTAACTAGCAAATTACACAGAGATCACAAATAACACAGAGATCACAAATCACAGTGAACACAGTTAAAGCTAAACAGTTAAAATCTCTTTGGAATAATCAGACTTAATCTCAAATTTAAGGCGAAAATATCGATTACAAACATTACAAACTTAAGCCAGTCACAAACCTTAAATAACATTAAAAATATTTAGAAAATTACATTAATAATAATTATTTAATAATATAATACATTAATAATATTATAAAAGCAAGTGAATATAATCACCATAAACTTAGGACCTAATTTATTCTCACACAAAGTAGTTGATAAAATATTCCTTATAAAGTAATATGAGTAAGTAAAATTGCTAATTGAGAGCATTGTAATCTTTGGATTTGATCATCGGCAGTTACTTATTTAATCTATGCGCTAACACAACACATCATAAAACACGAATTATCTACTAAACACGTGCACGACATACAAAAACGTTACAAAAGTTATTAAAAAATCGTGGGGTTCGTTATTTAATCTAAACATTAAAATGGCCACATTTCCTTTTCTTATTATCCTACAACATCGCGTAATACACGTACGGCTCCCGCTCGCTAATCGACGTGAGCGTATCGCGGGACGATGTCCTCTCGGATGAGTAGATCGCACGCGGGAAGGCTGGGCTGAGGAAGCAGGTCCTGGCCAATCGCAACGAGGCCCGGCTCGGGACCGGACAGCTTGCCGTGCCCGACGTAATGGTAGAACAGGTGTTGGATGACTGCCATGAATCTACGCTGTTCGGGCATCTCGGAATCAAAAGTACCGAGAATTGCTTTGACGTCCGCGTTGACGTCGGCCAGCCCGGGCGACCCCCCCGCCCCCCGCCCCGCGCCCCGCACTACGTACAGCGGGACCGACAGCCGCAGCCGCGCCAGGCTCACCAGCGGGCACAGAGTTCGGACAGACGAAATCAGTTCTACTAGACCCTCGTAAGTCTTATTGAAATGTGTAAATACGGCGGCGGTCAAGTTCTTCTCCCCGATGACGCTGTCGTTAATGATTTTTTCTACGATCTCCGGTGTCCACTTGACGTGTTTGTTTTTCAGAGTAACTGAGTGGCCGGAATGCAGGGTCGTGGTGAAGACCATCGGTTTGAAAACTTTTACTTTACCAGATTGTTTTGCAGTCTTCTGATCGAGCCAACTTTCGTACGCGTGAATACGTAACATCTCTCCGTCCAAGACTAACCAAGACCGTTGAATTTCGTCAGTCCGGGGCAACGTCTCAAAATTATTTCCGAACCAGGTATCAGGCGTGAGCGCCAACAGCTCTTCTTTGGACACACGTCTCAGACAATCCGCATCATTACATTTACTCATCTGCCTGAATTGTTCGTTGTTCTTCTGAGACTGCTCTAGAACTTCTCCGGGAAATATTACAGAAGGTGAAGACAGCCAAACTCTGGTGTACAGCTTGTGCGCTCCGGTGACTGTCGTCAAAGCGGCAGTTAATGTCGCTCCAGCTCGATGACCAAGTAAGGTTACCATTTCTGGATCTCCTCCAAAATGATTAATATTTAAATGGATCCAACGAAGTGCAGCCAGCAAATCGCTAAGAGCGTAGTTGCCAGAGGTATGCGGGTATTTTGACTTGGATAGTATATTGAGAGATAAAAAACCGAAAGGTCCTAGTCTAAAGTTGGGGCGCACAAAAATAACTTCCTCGGTCCGAGCATACAAAGCTGATGGTTGAGCTGGGCTTATTCCGCCAGCAAGTGTGTTAGCCCCGATGAGTACAACTACGGGCAACGGTGAGTCGTACCTGACGTGAGGCGTCATAATGTCGAGCGTGAGGCAGTCTTCTTCGCCAGTAATAGTGCCGTTCTCCAGAAACTGAACACAGAGTGGCCCAGGCACGTGGCATTGATAAGTTTCATTCCAACATAGCGATAAATTGTTTAATGGTTGTGCGTAGGTAAACCGTTTCTCTTTTATTGGAGGAACAGCATATGGAATGCTGTAGAACTTGTAAACACCTTCATCCAATATACTGAAAGAAAAAAAAAATTGTTAGTGAACATAATGTAATAACATTATCCAGATATGAAAAAAGATGAATGTGTAAACATACCCTTCCACGGGTCCGCAGCCGGTAGACGCGGTGATATAACGTCCCAAACGCAAAGGTCGTTCAACTGGCGGTCCGACACAAGCTCCAATCAAGCTTCCAATGATCACCGACATTGCCACTAAGAGCGCCACAATGCACACCACAATGTCGTCTAAATAAAATAGCAAATGACAAGGTAAGTCATATTAGCATCAGACAGAGAAAGTGAGGATTGTTGGTGTTATCGGGATAACTGTTATATCAGTATTATTAATCACACAAGGTTTGAAAAGTTTTCTTAGCAGTAAACAGAAGCTAGGACTGCTGGTGTCTACGAGCGCCACTGTATCCACTTCAATTAGGTGGTCAGTATGCAGGTTTCCAATTACTAATCCCAATTTAATTATGATAAGATAAAACTTACCAATGATAAATTTCTTTTGTCGAATTCTTTCTTTCAAGGGAAGTTTAGTGGCCACTTTGCCATCTTCAGGATCCTGTTAAATAAATGAAAATGTTATAGTTGTTTATTTAAACGAATTTACGCGTGAATCGTAACGAAAATCGAACGTTCAACGTATAATCCTGTTACCGGCCTGGATGATGACACTACAACAAATATTTTATGTTCTGTCAGTTTACAGTCCCCAATTCGATATGTTTTGGTTTGCTTCTTTTACTTATTTTTGTTTCAAAAAATGGTAACTTTAAATGGTTTTAATGGTTAACGCCAATTTTTTCGATATTTTTGTGGACATACAGAAAACTTTCTGTCAAAGACCACAATGAAGCTGATGTATATATAAAAATCCTTTTAAATTCAAGTTTCGGAGTTTGAGACGGCACTATATGAATTCTTCTTTTCATATAGTATTTATTTCCGTTTTCTCGAGTCATAGACATAATTAAAACTGTTTTTACGGTTTAAACTCGTGTTTTTATTGCCATTATAAATAATACTATTTCCGACGAAGTAATACGTTATCACGAAAACTGCAATGTATTCGAAATGAAACCATAAAACTATTTTTAAACTTTCTTTACATATAATTTAATTAGAACTGAAGTTGTCGTTGTTTGCTTTATTCTGAAAATTTTCAAGGCGCAATAAGCTTTTGTAATTTTTTTATTACTTTTTCTTTATCATGGCGCTCATAATTCTTCTCGAATAATTATTTTAAACTACGGTTTCCTTTCTGCTGTATACAACTAAACTATACAAACCAATGAAATAATTAACAAATTAATGAAATTAAAAAATTATGATCAGGTGAGTAGTTGTTTGCCTGCCTGTATCTATATTTTGACAGTATTTACCATAGGTTCCAGTTTTACATTTTCCAATCCATCATTAGATGTATCCATTTTATCATCCAAAGTTTCCATTGAAGCTAGTGTGGCCTCGGCAGTACTCGGCGAACTTTTTTTGAAAAAATTTGGATATCTGATATTAAATATACTTCTTTTGGTTTTTTGCTGTTCTTTGTGTTCATCTGTAATTTCAGTTAATATGTTATTGAATTTTTATTGATCATGAACTGGATCATAGTCTCAATTTTAGATGCATTGAATATTGGTTGGCAGACCAAATGTTTGTTCATGGCAGCCTATTTTAAAGTTGTTGTAATAAGGATAAGACTCCCAATGTACTCATATTGAGCAATGTGACTATGCCAGTGTTTATATCCTAAAAACAGATACAAATTGTTCTATTGAAACACAAAATATTCAAATATTCTAATTTGATGCTACTACTGTCTATTTATTTTTCAAGATATAGTATTTAACTCCAATCATTACATTGTGTTCACAGCATATGTGCAACAATGTTATTGGACGGTGAAATGGATCAATACATACATCTTAATAAATGTTTAATCATAACCATATATATTAATTTTATCATAATCATAGATCTTTAATAAAAGAAAAAACACACAGACAGATAATCTTAGCACTCAAAGATAATTGTAATTTACATAAACTCTAACCATTTTCGTTCTTTGGATGATGCATAAATTTAGTCAACGGACAAGAATGCAAGAATTTCAAATGATGACCTTTTGGTTTCGAAGTTTCATCAGTCTTGCAGATATCTGTTTCTTTCTGAATTTCTTCTTCATCCTGCAATCATTGCAAAATAAATCTATTGATGATACAGGATCAGAAAATATACTGTGTTATGAATTCTAATGGATTAATATGTGAACAGCTAGCTATGTTAGAGGAATTTTATTGAATAACACTGGTCTGACTATCTTTTATTTAAAAAATTTACCTATTATAAAAAAATTATTCAAAGTGAACAAGGCTTGAAAAATATACATATAATTTCTAACGCATTTCAAAAGGATTTTTTTTATCTATTGTAAGTAGCTTGGATGAATAAATGAATAAGGACAAGACTTGCCCAGGCATCTTCTTTTACTATACAGTGTTTTCCCTTTAGTTACTCCAATAAACACTAAGTCCGGTAAATATAATCCCTGATGAGATATGATGGTGAAAAAACCACATTATGCACAGTATGTGCAGCTGTATATATTAAATTAAAATTCTACAAAATTAAATACCAGGTATGTAATAATTTGCAAACCACCCCTCAACATTTCATGTAGGCTTTAAATAATTAATAATTAACTTCTGATATGGTTGTATGACTGCAACTTGTGTTTTAATTAATAAGCCTTGATTGTTCAGTATTTGTAATATCAGTACTTATATTTATTCATCTGGAGGAATATTATTTCAAGATGCATATACAAGTATTACAAGGATAAAGATTCAATATACAAGGTATCTTTTGTACTGTGCTACCTGGTAACTTCATCTTTCACTTGTTTGTCTAGTGCGATCCGTTTCTAAAATAAAATCAGCATTGCTTAAATTATTAAAGAAGTCGAGTGATTTCTATCTAATCCAGGTTTGAAGCTATTTTTGAAATTCCAATATTGCTCAAGATCTATTCAATATATCAGTGACAAAGACATTATGAGTATCCCTATCAAAATACTGACAAAACAATCGAGAGACATTTGTATTCTTTTGTATATAAATATCATTCTTATATTTCACAGGTAGTGACGGCCCAAGTAATGGAAACCAATGGATTAAGAGCAATTGGCTATAGAAGTAGTAATGATTAAGAATAAAAAATTAAGACAGATGGAGGAGTGTTAATTATACATGCAATCAAGAAAAAATATTGTGAAATTATAAATTATATTATATGTATGCAAGAACTGTAAGAAAAATAATTTACACATATTGAGGTGTGAAAGGCTCAATTAAGTTTACTCCATTGATTAGCTTAAGAAGTTTTTTTATTATGACATTTTATCCAAATTTTAAGCTTTAAATGGCTCTGCTGTAAAATTACTTAAACCAAATAGGCCTTTACCCCTAGATATTTAGTTAAGTCAGTGAGTTATTTTTTATTATTAACCAAGAGCCAAAGAGTTTCAGTAATTTTATAATTTGTACATTGTATATCACCATCCCTCATATACCATAACACTTCTTGTGAAGTTGATGAAGCTTTTATTTGGTCAGTCCATCATAATGTCTTATATCTTCAATCATGCCCTGTACCACAAGGCACTGCACTCAGATGTCCCCCCTATCGCAACACATGTACAAAGAAAGTGAGAATGCGACCGTGAACAATGGAGGCTGCTTCATTTCACTGTAGAATTTAGTGATTCGTTCTGAACTCCGTCTACAATATATGCAATTTTCTTGTCCAGCGCCACATTTCAAGAGCTCACCACTCACCACTACCTGAGCTGATGACCATAACCACTCTGCCAAGAGTGCAAACGACTAAGAAGAAGACATACTATGTGTACAAAACTTACCTTCGATTTTTCAGAACTTTTCGTGAAAAATCCCGGCATTTTGATGGCCCCGATAGGTATATATTTCGGCTTGACTTCACGTCCTTGTTCCGTAACATCACCAGAAAGTGCTGCCTTTACAGGTCCTTCTGCTTCAGCTCTCAGTTCCGCAAAATCATCAACCGCTTCCTTTTCGGCTTTTAGCATAACTTCTTTCTCTTCGGCTTCAATTTCCTTTTTATCCAACGTCTTCTCATCCTCAAACTCTATTTTATTAATTTCAGTTGTACTCATGTCTGCGGGAAAACGATACGATTCGCATGAAAGAATACCAACAAAACGAACGAGGAAACACGCTATTTGCAAAGCGTTTGTTTGGATTTACTTCGTCTGTATGTAAATCGGAGGGAGAAAGAGGCTTTAATTGAATATAAATTTAAAAAGTAATTTAAGTTTGACTTACTGGCGATGTGTGTCTTTTTGATTAACGCTTTTATACCATCACTTCCATTCAGTAATCCAGTTTAACTTTATTTTTCAGTTTAATTTTAATTTTAAAACAGATGCCATTTGCAACACTAGATTTTTTGCTGCGTTTTATAGAATTGGACAGGCAAAGGGAGCTAAGCTCGTAAACCTAAAATAGATTTTTTCATATATATTTTTTTAAATAGCGGTATTTGTTGATTAGTTTTTATCATCAATTAATGCTATTTAATCAAACTTCAATCTTTAAATTTTATATCGAATTGGTCTCTTAGAATCATCAATTTTTGTTTTCACAATTTGAATCTTGAGATTTTAGGAGCTGTGCAATAGTTTATCCAGTAGCTCGACTCTTTGTACCTTTTTGTCATTTTCGAACGGTGGAACAGTCGCTACACACTAATATTAAAACTTTGACCCCATGTCTAAAGTTGGGTGATTGCATTCATGTTGTGGTGTCTATGGACTCCGGTAACAACTTTACGCCAGACGGGCTGTAAGTTCGTTCACTCATGTGGGTTTTAAAAAAAACATTGCCGTCCTTTTTATGTGAACTATAGTAGAATTATTTTGTCCGTGCAGTTTGGGTCATAAAACATAGCCCGGCTAGGGCGGTGAGCATGCTGCGCGTGCGCAACGCCATATTATCGATAAAAACAAATGAGTCATCGAAAGTAGGTACGCGGCGGCGCGGCGGGTGGTATACGAAGAGTGGTGAGACATTGTTATGTTAAGAGTCATTTGTACTTACCTGCAAATTATAATACATTACGTCGAAGAAAAATGTGTTTTTATGCATTGGTTCTCTGAATTTCTTTAGTGACACAATGGCTACTCCTTTGTTTTGTATCAAAACGGCAGAATTTATTCAAAATAATATTTGCACGGGTGGTATCAACAATGTGTTAAAATTTTTCACTGAAATAAGAATAGATTTGGAAAAGTTACAAAGTGTTAATTTCTGCCGTTCTCGTTAACTTGCTGCGGCGATATGTGGTGTAAGTGTTCGATTAGTGTTTTTTCTTTCATTTTTATCACTAACCCACAAAATGACAAAACTAAATATACTATCGATAGCGCTTATCGACAACAATAATGCGCATCACTATGCCCGTCCATAAGGCTCGTGAGTGGAAGAGAGAGCGAAATACTCGCTTCACCGCTCCGATTTTTTATGAACCAAACTGCACGGACAAAATAACTCTACTATAGGTAAAATATCTGTGGACAGACAGATTATTGTTGTTCGTGCAATTAGCTATATTTGCAAACCGACAACACGTGTTCTAGATGAATATGCCACAAAACACATACCCTAATGCTTCGGTTGTTTTATTTAGAATTCTATACTTATGGTGTCCGATGATGGTATGTAGTACTATGAATAGTAGAGAAGTGAACATTTTAAATTGAAATGAAACAACACTAAATTTAAATGCATTTTATTAACTACAAACAGAAAACAAGCAGAATCAGTGTTTTTCTAAAACCTTGACTAGAAGATCATTTATATGTGTTATTAAATTTCTCGGATCCATGACGAGTCCAGCCGTCACCATGGCGTTGGAGAACAACTGCTGAGCTACCATGTTCGCTAGTTCCTTGTCAGTCGACATCAGTTTATGTAACTTTTTCACAATTGGATGCCTGAAACGAATATTTTAATGATTTAAAATTACTTATAAGCTAAATAAATATAACGTGAATACCGACATCATGAACGGTTACTTGCACCTTCTTAATATTGAACAATAATAGGTAGTAAATTATTGAAATTCTTATGTTACTGCCACAAAACGAAAAAACTTTCTCTACATTTTTTTTATTTTTTTATTTCTCTTGTAGGCAGACGAGCATATAGCCCACGTAATGGTGAGTGGTTACCGTTGCTCATGGACGTCAGCAATGCCAGGGGCAAAGCCAAGCCGCTGCCTACTATAAAGTACTTTCCACAAGCCTCGTTTGAAGGAGATGTCATAGTGCTCGCTAAACGTCGTAGAGTGGAGCTTATTCCAAAACCGAATGGTATGTGGCACAAAAGGGCTCTGGAAACGTATTGTGGATGAACGCAGTGGTTCTAGGTAGTATGAATGAACTCTACTCCGGTGGCGGGTGATGAGTTGGTAAAAATGAGATGATGGAATAATTTCAAACTATTCCTCAAAGCACTTCGCATGGAACATACGATACAAAATACAGAGAGAACCGATGTCCTCCCGCAGGCCCAGATGTTCTAAACGATACGAGAGAATCGGATTATCGACAATGCGAACGGCTCTCTTTTGTACGGAGTCAAATGGAAGTAGCTGATATTTGGGAGCCCCGGCCCAGAGGTGGGAGCAGTACAACACGCGAGGCCAGACTTGTGCTTTATAAAGCAAAACTGTTTGTTCAGGCGTGAAGTACCAGCGTGAGATATAATACAGTACCAGTATTTTAATTTATTAACATATGGGCGTCTATCGTGTATCTATGGTCTGTCTACAGTGGTCATTAACAAGTCCTGAGCTGCTATGGAATGCACTTTGTTGAGGTTCTAACCAATTATTACCGAAAATACAATAACTGTACTCCTTTCTTGTATTTGAAAAAATTTGTAATAATGACTGCTTGCAAAAATTAAGCCTATTTCTGCAATGAAGCAGTAATGAGTTTCGGTTTGAAAGATGCGGCAGCGGTTGTACTGTAAAAACTAAGATCTTGGAGCTGATATATCAAGGAATGCCGCCAACATTTACATTGTAGATGTTTATGGGCTCTGGTAATCACTTAACACCAGGTGGCTCGTGAGTTTGTCCGTCCATATAAGCAATAAAAAATAAAACTGGTAAGACACAAAAGACAATTAAAACTATGGTAGAAAGCTTTAGTATTATTAAATAAAGCTGCGGAAAACTTCGGAAAAGCTTTTGCTATGCATTTGAGATAGAGTATAGACCATTCATCACCATTCCACCATTACGCGGTAGGCGTGACGTGACTAGGTGGTGTGTGTGTTGGTTAATGTCAAGGGGCCATAATGTAATCGCAATTTGAAAGAAATTTCTAAGTGTTTACTTTCGCAATTATTAATCAAGAACAGAATAGGTACTTCTTGAAATTGTATTTGTATCTTAATAGTATTAATTTAATTTTCCTCATATTGTATTTGTGTATACAGTCAAACCTGGATAAGAGAGAGTTCAAGGGAGCACAATCTCATTCTCGCTTATAGAGGTTTCTCACTAACCCGAGTTTCTCGCTAATGCTCCCTCTGAATTTCATTTCGCTATTTTCCGGATTCAAACGCATTCACTATTTAAGTTTATCACTTAATGACAGTACTTTAATTTTCCGTTTTGACATGATGCAGAACAGAACTTTCCTTCGCAATTGATTAACGATAAACTGAGTAAGTCCGACAAACAGGACGGTACACAGGCACACATGTCCATTCGAAAAGAATGCGATAAAATAACAACGTTATTTAGTTCCACGAAATAGAATAGGTTCAATATTGACGAGAAAACAATTCAAAAACAATGGTAGGGAGTTCCACAAAAGTTAAGAATGAGTCATAAAATAGCAGATGTTAAACTTGTAATTTGTTTTTTCATTTGTTCCTCCTAAATAATATAAATAAATAAAGCTCGACTGTCGCTTATAGAGGTATAGATAAGTAGCAGTCTCACTTACGGAGGTCCATGAGGGAAAAACGACTCTCTCTTATAGAGGTTTCTGTTTCTCTCTAATAGAGGTTTTGGGAGCTTAAAATGACGGGTCCTGGCTATTACTCTCACTTATAGAGTTTTCTCACTTATCCAGTTCTCACTTACCCAGGTTTGACTGTATATCTGTATCATTTAGCCACGTAGACACCTTAAGAAAACATTTTGCTTGTTTATGATTAGACTGTCTCTGTTCTGATTCAGTAGTTACTTACTTAGCATTTATTTCTAGCTGTGGTCGTAAAAGTGCAAATCTGTTCTCCTCAGTGAGGTTTTGAGCTTGTGTTCTAATGAAATGTCTCGCAGCCGCCATTTCTGGTACGACAATGACGCAAGGATGAGAATCTAGCTTCTGCGTTGTGCGCACATCAAATACTTTCCCAGTTAAGTTCGTTTTCAGAAAAGAGATTAACTCATCCACTTGAGATTGCTGCAGGCCCTCACTGCCTAAAAATTAAAAAAAGCATTCAAATAATAATAATTTATGTCTCGACAATCACTTGAATGTTTATTTAGACTTTAGTGTTGGTTATTTTTAAACGTGCATGCAAATAAAAGGGTTTTCTTATGTTAATGCTTAATTTCAAAGTGAAAACTATACAAATATTTTTATTATGTTACCTATAATAGATTCCGATTTATCTAGTGGATCTCTCTGCATGTCGTTTTCAACTGAAACCAAAGCTCGACCACCGAATTCTTTGAGTTCTAACAACACCAACTCATCATACATTTCATAGCAAAACAATACTTCGATATCGCGTTTTTTAAGTGATTCGTAGTATGGCGATGTTTCTGCAAGTTCTCGACTGAAATAAAACATTTTTCATTAAAAAATCCACACTAACAACACCTTTAAAATTTAACAGTTTAATATTGTGTGTATACATTTCAATAAATGTTACAGTTATTCATATGTCAAAGTTCTAGTACCTAGTTTATATTGTGTTTTTAGCAAAACATACCTAGGAGCTGCTAGATAAAATATTGACTTTTGATCATCTTTCTGTCGTGAACTATAATCCGATAGGGAAGTTCTTTGACCATTACTCAGTTTCGATGACTCAAATCGTAATAATTTCGCAATTTCTTCCTGAAGTAATAAGAGATAGATTATCATACAGATTTATTGACTGTAAACTTAAAGAATACTTTTATAATAGTTTATAAGTTTTTACCTTTTCCAATGGGCTTTGACTTGTAACTATACCCTCTTTCAGAAATATGGAGTAGTCTTTGTAAAATGCTTCATACTGCAAAGGATCTTTCTGTGACATTTCAACCATAAACTTCAGAAACCGGTTTGTTAGGACTGTTCTCAGTTTACTGTAATTTATACAGAAGTGTGTATTTGATGAGATCTTTGTTATAAGGTGTAACTACAGCACAAACAGTACTCTAATTTATTTAAATATAGCATGATTTGAAATACAATAAAAACTGACTAGGCTGTTTCTATAAACTTACGTAATAAGCGCACTGTTTTGTAACAATTCTCTGCTGAGATTTAGCGGAATGTCTTCAGAGTCTACAACCCCTGAAAATGAAGTAAAAACATAAGTCCCATAGTTCCGTTTGACACAGGAATGCAAAATTAAAAATATAAATAGGAGCCCACCCGTTTTGGCTTTGTTATTAACTTTAAATGGCAAAATCTTCATTAAAACTGGTCCAGTAGTTTTTGACTGTTAACAAACAGACGAAAAAAAATTATGTATCCTACTATGCACTGTAAAGGATTCCATAATTTGTTTGACAGAGTAGTTTTTTTTTGTCACTATTAATTATTATATTGATGAGGATGAGCCAGAAACCTCTAATGAAATACTTTAATGATCTCAATATTCTTTTGAATTAATTTTAGGACAATTTCTCACCTTTTACAAATCGCAACCATTTAGGTAGTATATTTTCTGCTTTGCTTTTAATCAATATCTTCCTGGAGTACAATGCCACTCCTACATCAGAATCACGTGACAGTTCAAAGAGACCAGGCTTCCCTTCTGGCACATACAATATAGATCTTATACTCAATGGCGCATCAGTTTTGTAGTGAAGTGTGAAACGAGGTTTGTCATATGAATTACTGATGAATTTGTAAAATTCAATATGTTGCTCTTGAGTTATTTCTTTTGGTTCAAATAGCCATAAAGGCTGAAATAAATCAGAAATATTAATAATAACAATACATTCATAAAAAAATATATATTTTAATAATATTTTAATGCACAAGGTCCTTTCGAAAATAATGTATGGTAACAAAAGAATTTTCATTTTAGTTTATGTTGTAAATAGCCCATTAATCTTTACCTTTGGGAAATATCCTTACAACTTGTATTCATTTTTTTTGGTTATTTGTATGTAGTTCGTACTTGAACTACTGGACCAATTCTAAGAATTCTGTTTCATATATTAATCTGAGTTACACTTATTTTTGTTAAGAGAAAAAATTACAAATCTTACCTTAATGGAATTAACTTGGTCGTTGTTCAAAAAAATTGGGCTGCTAACAAAATTGCTGTATTTCTTAATGATACCTAGAACAAATTTGTATTATAAATATCATTCGTGAGATTCAAATAGTTTTTTTTAAATGAACATACTTTTTACTGTATCATCATCTGCAAATTCTCTGCAGTCTGTTTTTAAATATACAACTATTTTTGTGCCAATTTCAACTCCATCAGCTTCTTGAATTTCATATGTGCCAGATCTGGAAGACATGAAAATTTAAGTATATATTTTCTGACCTAGAAAGGATTTGGTTTTGGTGTGGCATTTTGACACTGAACATTAATTATGTGAAATTTGCATTAAAAATTAAATTTAATACAATCTAAATGCAAAATTTTATGTTGTAAGTGTAAAAATATTTCATTTATATATTCTAAGTATTATCTAACCCATCTGATGACCATTGATATCCTGGTGAATCGCCTTTACTGCTTCTTGTGAATACTTCTATTTTGTCAGCCACCATAAATGCAGAATAGAATCCAACACCAAATTGCCCAATTATGGAGCTGGCTTGTTCAGCACCTTGTTTCTTAATTTCTTCAATGAATGACTTTGATCCGGATCGTGCTATGGTTCCTAAATTTTGTGTAAGTTCTTCTTTCGTCATACCAATACCAGAGTCCTTAAATAGACATTAAATAGATATTTTTATTGATTGTTTTCAAATTTCTTACAAAATTATGATTATTATCAATGCTACTTTTACTGTTTATTTTCGCGTTTAATGTAACATGTGTAACAGGAGGTTAAACTGTAAAAGTTATTTATTACGTGTATGACTTGTGAAACCTGAAGAAAATGCTATGAAGGTATAATCTAAATATATTGTTTAATTTATATTACAGTTGAAAATAATTAAAATTATATATCTAATAATAATCTATGAATATTTCAGTTTAGGCTTTACTATTAGCTAGTTAATGTGATTTTTTTGTACAAAGAACTTTCTATACTATTAGAGTTACAGACACTTTTAGACAAAATTTCATTTGTAACCTGATTTATCATAATATTGTTTCCAAAATCATATGAAGATAAATATTCTACAAAATATAGTGTCAAAGAGTTAAATGAGAAATGCTTAGCATGGTCCATGCACAGTGTTTGTAAATAAATATGACTATAACTGTAAATATGAGTTAACAAATATTTAGCAAATGTGTGATTAACATACTTAGTAGTTTTTGTAAAGTATTTGCTTTACATGGACTATTATTTAACATCCAATAGTGTCTGCAACAACATCAAAATATGCTCAATGCCCCTCCCTATAGGTTGCTATAAGTGCATACTAGGAGTATAATTCAATGACAATGACATGAATCAAATGACATTGAATTTTAAATCTTCCTATATCATAGAATAAAGTTATGTAAGTAATAATAGGGCTTTATTAAATAAGTGTAAACAAACCTTGTAAATGATATCAACTGTTCTACAAAATTAATAATTTAATGTTTACCTGGAATGTAATTGTACGATTTTGTTTGTCAGTTGTTAATCTGATCTCAAGTGGTCTGTCCAATTCTTTTAGGTTTCCAGACTCTGGTACTGAGCTTACACTCAGGTATCTGAATTTTTCAAGAGCATCACTTGCATTAGATATTAGCTCTCTAATAAATACCTGCAAAAGACATAATACAATTGACACTGAAAGGCTCCATTCCAACTGGACGTTAGTATTACTGTTTGCTACGTATTTGAATTGAATTTCAGTATTTTATTAGTCTATTTAATTGTATCTTTTGATTTAGTACCACAAAAAAGCTATTGGATTGAATTCATTCATTGATTGTGTGGTATATCATGAGTCTTTGGCAAGAAGTCCCAGACTACAATTTCAACATCATTACTTTTAATATTTTGTAGCACTAACAATAAGCTGACCATATATCACTATTAAATCAGTGCAATTACCACCTTGATCGAGAATCAAACTTTTTTCCTCAAAAGACAAACCAATATTTTAAATCAAACAAGTAAAAAAATTATTGAATTGTTCATTTACATTTTACGGTCTCAATTTCATTTAATGCTTTCATATACTCATACTGTATGTGTTAATCATAAAATTTAAGTGTATAACAAGATTTTTTGAGTAATTTTCACTACTAAATTTCTGTATGTTATTCTAAGTCTTAAAAAGTTCTTCAACAACTCAGGATCATGGTCACTGATAATAAAAGAAAAAGAAGCTTGTGTTGCTAAGGTTAGAATGTGATATTTCTGCGATCAATCTGCTCATTGTTAATATTCAAATTCATTACAGTCTCTTAATCAATTTTCCTAATAGCACATGAGTAAAAGTTAATCTTTAAGAAAAACTAAATAAATCATATTTAAAAAAAATACAATGTTTAAAAATAGAAACAAAATAGGTACAATAACAGGCTTTGCAAGTCCTTTCACCTTAGCATAAAAATTGGACTACCAACCTCTTTATCTGAATATAAAGATCGAGCTACAATATCTAGCAACATTCTCGTTTCGGCTTGAAATTCTCTTTTTTCAGACTTTCCTTTTAAGCTTTCACTGCTTTGTTTTTCAGTTACAGTACTAAAGTGTTGGAATTCTTTTAATTTGGATCCGAAGAAAACTGTAATTGAAAATGAATCGTTTTTAGAAATACTACTACACCTCAGCGTTAGGCTTAACTCAAACTGCTAACCATTCGTTGGTCTTGAGGTTATCATTTCACATCCCGGGGCTACAATTATTACATTAGTCATTGAACGGGATAAAATTCTTTTCAAATAGAATGTTCCCACTCTGGGACGGACTGCAAACATTTTTAATGTATAATTCACTTTATTTTCCTTTTTTAACTAACAGACAGCAAATTCTTTTTTTCGGTATAATGACACTAATGACAGCCCGTTTTTGTTAGAGAAACGTCTATTTAACAGGCAAAGGGACTGTAGGCTCNTTACATTAGTCATTGAACGGGATAAAATTCTTTTCAAATAGAATGTTCCCACTCTGGGACGGACTGCAAACATTTTTAATGTATAATTCACTTTATTTTCCTTTTTTAACTAACAGACAGCAAATTCTTTTTTTCGGTATAATGACACTAATGACAGCCCGTTTTTGTTAGAGAAACGTCTATTTAACAGGCAAAGGGACTGTAGGCCCATAGGCTAGGGCAGCGCTGTTTCCTCGTTTCACTAATAGACCAAGATTTGTCGCTGCCAGCAATCATGGCTCCGTTGATCGATAGCAACAAATCTCAGAAGGTGACGTTCGACTTCGGCGAGTCCGTTATCTCGCAGATGGAGACGGCTGAACGAGAGATTGTTGGAGTTTGAATATGTAAGCAATGGCAGGCAGCACTTGTCACATGTAAGGTTACAGATTTCGAATATTGGAATGCTTATTTAAATGTTTGAAACAAATAATTGTCTTTTCTTCAGAAATTATTTCAGAAAAGACAATTATTTGTTTCTTCTTTCTTCAGAAAAGACAATGACTTCTCATCTAGACAAGGTCAGAGCGTGAATGGAGTGAAATTAGTAGATTATACAGTTAATTCGTCTTAGAGTTTTATAAAAATAAAATATTATAATGGTGTAATAGTGTACAAAGTATTTGCAATATAATTATATTAACCATGAAGAATGTGTTTTTAAATAGCCCCTCACCTACAAAACCCAATCCTCCCAATCACTCTCCGCACTAATCCGTTACTGCCGAGCCGGAGGCCAGAGAAAGGCTTTCGCCCGGGACTGGTCCCTAAATGAGGTGATCTCCCCCGGTGAGGGTTACGGGATCTGAGAGTGCAAGTAAGTGCGGCTCGCTAGCTATATGTCATGTTCCGAGCTGGCAGGCAGGTTCTGATCCGGCGGAGTTTTCAGGGACACCAACGGCACCGCCGAAGGCAGTCTGACGCGCTGTTGTACTGAGGTCGAATCGTCGATGATCGCCTCGACCAACCATTAGTCGGGTGACCTAGAGGTGGCACCGCGAATCTGGTATTAGTGCTTACCGTAGGAACCATCTTAATATCTGAATTTTATAAGTAGGTACATAATTTGGAAACGTCAAAATGTTTCTTAGTGGAACTTACCACCAATACTAAACATATGTGAATTTGAATAATTAATCACAAACTTTCGATTTTTTTTTAATTGGTATCCGTCGATTTTCCATGAAAGTATTTGTCCCATAGAAACAGAAATGTGGCTCAAAATGGAACCACCAATCCCGAAATCAATTTTGTAATTTTTTTCATCGATCCTGGTAATCGATTTTATTCAACTTGGCATTGGTCAACTCTAAGTAAAGTTGATGTTTGGGTTTGGCGTTTGCTGCTTAGTGCTTTTGTCATTCACTCAAGTTAAGTCAAACTCCGACAACCGAAAAGATGTGCCCGTGTTGAACTGTTTAATTCATAAAAACCTATTTAATAAAATCTCAATTTGAACAGTTAAATCCATCATAAAAACTCTTTAATATGTTTTTGGTTTTTAATAGAAGTGTAGTTGCTTTGTGTTCTTTTATATTATCAGTGAACATTGATTCTGTAACGTAATTGTTTAGTGTTAGTGNAAGTCAAACTCCGACAACCGAAAAGATGTGCCCGTGTTGAACTGTTTAATTCATAAAAACCTATTTAATAAAATCTCAATTTGAACAGTTAAATCCATCATAAAAACTCTTTAATATGTTTTTGGTTTTTAATAGAAGTGTAGTTGCTTTGTGTTCTTTTATATTATCAGTGAACATTGATTCTGTAACGTAATTGTTTAGTGTTAGTGACTTTATTCGTAAAATTTAAAGATACTTTTTGCCAGTGACGTTCTTTTTAAAAGATGAATATATCAATCCTAAAATAAACCCAAAACTGTAGTTGGTACCGTACTGCAGTGTCAACATGAATATTTGGTTTAAAGGATTCAGGACGAACTTAAATTATTTTATCTCGGTGTTATCTCATTTGCATGGCAGTACTTGAAATTTGTGTTTAGGGTCGGTTGGTAGGACTTTTTCATTATGAAACGACAAAAGTGAACTAAAATCGTCACCGTGGAGCATCTGGTTGGAGGAGGTGGCGCGGGCGGCTTGCTGCCCGGCGCTTCGCCCGCCCAGCATCCGCCTAATATGCTACAGCCTATGGAGGAAATGATTCTACCTCCCAAACGACAAGCTGTTGTAGACCGCTTAAGGTAAGATAACTTAATTTCTTTTTAAATAGGATGGTAAGCGTCATAAAAATCTTATTGTTATGATAAAGATTTAATTTATTGTTAAGCTTATTTGACTAAATGAAACACCATCTAAAAATATTTCTAAACATTAATTTAAGGAAACTAAATTAATCGAAATTAAATATTTCTTCTTAAATTAAAAATATTAAGCAGCTTTGTTTTCATTTATAGTCTGTTACAATTTACTTTAGACAGCAAACAAATTCAAATAAATTATTAATTTAATCAATAAAAATATTGGAAAATATGTTGGAATGAAATAGAACTTTTCTGCAAATGAATTAATTTTATTAATTATTGATTATTGTAAAGCCAGTCATTTTTTTAAATTGTGACTCTCAAAATAGTATGTGCACACAAATGCAATACATTGACGAAGAGTCATTTATAGTCTGTACATGAAGCAGACAGCATTTTCACTTATTTGCATATTTTGTATAAATGTTGTACAGTTGTAAGGATTTCTGTGCACTAGTGGCATGTGAAGGGCATTATACTAGAGGAATGTAGAATGTTTAACAATATTTTTTTTACTCTGTAATCCAATATAGATACTGGAGAAGTATGTGATAAGAATATTGAATCCTTTCCTTTTAATCAAAAGCTTGACAGACTGATTATGTGCTAGGATTCCTGTGTAAGATTTTAAGACTTCAATGATATTCCATATTATTTTAATGTTAAACTAGCTTTCTATGTACGAATTGGCTATTGCAAGGTGTCCAGCTATATTCAGTAGTTTTGGCAAGAAAATGTAACAGACAGAGTTAATTTCGTATCTATAATATCGTTAATTAATAATTAATAATTAAAATATTATAACAATTAAATTATTATATTATTTTTAAATTATTAAATTTTAAGTAATTAATATAAATTTAATATTATAATAGTAATTAAAATATTAATTAATAATGTATTGGTTTAATCTGTATATTGAAGCTCTACACATTAATAAAGACTAAATTAATTAAAATAGTGTTGACCCAATATTAATAGCTCCAGGTATCTTTTTACACTTGTTAATAGAATTGTAATTATTATGGTCATTAATTTGATTATCCATAAAATTTATAACGTCCATAAAATAAAATAAAATACATTTAGAAATGCATTATTTTTCACCGTTATATAACTAGTTGAACCTTAATTATAATATTTAAGTGACATATTCACAGTAAAAACTACTTTAAAATGGAGTATTTTGTGCCACTGATTTTGGTATATTTTAATTTTACTGGTGGTAGGACCTCTTGAGAGTCCACACGGGTAGGTACCACCACCCTACTTAATTCTGCCGTGAAGCAGTAATGCGTTTCGGTTTGAAGGGTGGGGCAGCCGTTGTAACTATACTTGAGACCTTCGAACTTATATCTCAAGGTGGGTGGCGCATTTACGTTGTAGATGTCTATGGGCTCCAGTAACCACTTAACACCAGGTGGGCTGTGAGCTCGTCCACCCAACTAAGCAATAAAAAAAAGAAAAGCGTTAAGTAATTTTGTTTTATTATTTAGTTTTGACTATACACATTCTGATGTATAAATAACTTAATATAGATTTCTAAGAAAGCTAAAGATTGCTTGGGTCATACATTTTTACTGCAACGTCGTCAGGTTTGAGCCCCGTGAGCTCACCTACTAGTTAAGGTTACATTGAAATAGCCTCTCAAGGCTCTCAGCTTAGGTAGGATAACCTGGCTCGTTACCCCCTTGGACCGGGTATCTGTAAATGAATTCCCCAGCATTAAAAAAAAGTTGCTAAGGTTAGAATGTGATATTTCTGCGATCAATCAGCTCATTGTTAACATTCAAATTCATTACAATCTCTTAATCAATTGTATAATTCACATACCAAATATCTGATGCATTGTAATTTTTGTGGCTACTATAACACAAAATAGATCAAACAAGCAAGTAGTACACTCATGCCACATACAAGTATTTTGTATTTTATTTTTATAGATGAGTAGATAAGTTCAGGGCCAGACTGCTATTAAGTGGTCCATAGACAATCCTGCCACCAATTAATTCCGGTTGATAAGCACAGTACCTCAAGATATAAGTTCTAAGGTCTCAGTATAGTTACAACGGCTACCCCACCTTTCAAACCAAAATGCATCACTGCTTCACGCCAGAAATAGGAAGGGTGGTGAAGGGTGGTGGCGGGTAGGTATCTCATGTGAGAGGTCCTACCACCAGTCATCATCATCATCATCATTCTTTCCTATTACTGTCTGCTGGGGTGTAGGACTCGAATCAAATTTTTCCATTTACATTGGTCTTGGGCAGTCTGTTCTAGCTCCTCCCACGTCATGCCCAAGAACCCTAGCTCCTGCTCCACCGAGGGACGCCAAGTTGATCTAGGGCGGCCTCTCTTCCTTTTGCCAGACCCTTTCCAGGTCAGTGCTCTCTTTGACAGATGGGTATTTTCTCAAAATCTCTTGGGTGGGTATCTTCTCTGGCTTTCTCAAAATGTGCCCAATCCAATGCCACTTCCGCGTAAGGATCTCCTTCTCCATTGGTGTCTGCTTAGTGATCTTTCACAGCTCTTTGTTAGTGATCTTCTCAGGCCAAAAGATTTTCAAAATCAGTAATTACACAAATTATAATTTTGCGGGTTTGATTTTTATTACACGATGTTATTCCTTCACCATAAAAGTCAATCGTGAACGTTTGTTATGTACTTATTTCATTAGAAAAATTAGTACCCGCCTGCGGGATTCGAACACCGTTGCATTGCTAGATACGAATCCACCGGACGTCTTATCCTTTAGGCCACGACGACGACGTAATGCAATTATACTTCGTTTATGGCGCTATATTGCCATAAGATTTTACAATACGCCCTGCCTTTCCTGGTTTTAGTGAACATCTTAGTCACTAGTGTTTAAATAGTATAATGTTGAGAAGTTTTTGCAAAACTTTCAAACTGACTGTTAAAAGAAACATTATTAAATGCGAATGATCAAATTCCTATGGCTTGCAGTTGTACATCACATAATTATGAAAATTGGAAGCTTTAAAAAGTGATCATATATATAATATAATAAGTAAATAGTAAGTAAATAAATATAAGTAAAATCGATTTATTTTATTCAGTTTAGCTAAGTTTCTCTAGCTAAATGCTTATAGTGTTTAGCACTAAGGACAATCCTTAATGTCGTCCTTCGAACAGATGCTTTCCCCAGGATGGCCTAAAATAATATTTGTTTACATATTTGCTTGGTTTTTTCTATTATATTATAATGTGATCACTGCTACGCGTTAGATTGTTTTTGTAGTTTCTACCACTTCCGAGATCCAAATATCAATACGTTTATGATTTGTGGACATTTTTATGACCATTCTAATTATTTTTACATTTTTAATTCGTTTTTTTTAAAGCATACAGTGACAGGTGAGCAAACGATTTAAATGCTGCTATCGCACACTAATCATAACTTTATAAAAACTTTTTAAAGACTTGTTGAGCACCCGACACCCGTTACGTGCACATTATGCTATGTACACATAACTTAGAGATATTTTTTTAAATAATATTACTTCCTACTTTTAACCGGATAATTCTGAGTTTATACTGCATTTAAGGACATCTTACCAAGTCAAATGGCGGACGAGAGTAAGACAATGCAAACGTTATAAAAATATCCATGAAAACACGAGCTATCTTTCGCAAGCCAACAATTCTTTTACCGTATACCTTTAGGTGTAATTCTTAGAACAATCTCTAGATAAAATATGAGTCACATCCTCTCTACGAATTTGAAGGAGCGTATACAGATCTACGGCCTCATAAGCTGGAACTATTTCCTATTATAATTTTGATTGAGTTTGCAAACTACATACTTACTCGAAATATACTTTGCTTTGTAAATTCAGGGTTATCAGAAATCGACAGTGTAGTTTTTGCCGCAAAAACATAAACCAACAGTCAATGCGCAAAAAAGCCTATGTGGTGTTATTTATTATAATATTTTTTCAGAATTAGGTTAATAGCTGACGCTGCTCTTTGGTATTTTCTTCTCAATCGACATAATATAATAATAATAAAAGGTAAAAATACTCCAAGAAAATTAACACAACTTTCGACAACAGCTAGAGCAAATAGAAAAGTTCAAGCTTTCCTAATAATCTAAATAACCTGTCTAATGTGATTTTTCATAAAAGGAAACGATGCAATACAACATGCTATTCCCGAGGCTAAGCATACTCAAAATAGTATCGTGTACTACATTAGAATTTGTATGTGTTAGTGCATCGTGGTTGCACTTAGTGAAATTATGTTGGAGTATCGGTGTATGTAGGTATGCCTAACGGTACTGAATAGCTAGTCACTGGTACACAACCTCGGTAGTATTATCACTTTACAGATAATTTATTTGTGAAGTCACTTATCTGCAAGTCAGTAAGTAATTAAAATATGTTTTTTTTTTTCATGAATATAAGCCAAACCCATTACAATTAAGATTATCAAAAATATAATTCACTATGTTATTCATAAATTTCGAAAAATATATATATATTGAATTATCAATAATTATTATTATCTACGATAGGACATATTACTGTGTATTATTGGGCAAGTGTACTACTATACTGATCTGGGTGTTTCTGTTACAAATGCAATCATTCATTTCGGTACAAAAAGTAGGACATTTGTCTGTCTTTATGCTCATGACATGTAATATCCAGGTACGCGATCCCGGTCTCAAGAAAAAATCATCTACAACATGTAGTAGTTAGTGTCTTCATGTTATTTTTTCCCTATTACAATCGCAAAATTGTGATGTTACAATGTTAAAATATGGCAAACATCATTCCATTTTTTTCCCTATCTATGCTGATAGCCTTGAGAGGCTATTTCAGCTTCACGCTAACGTGTACGTGAGCTCACGGGGCTCAAACCAAAGTGTTGCTAACACTGACCCTAGCAAGAGCAGTGCTTCGCAGAATCTACCA